CTATTGTTTTGTTTATGCATATACTTCTTTTTGAAGTTTAAATAAGTATTTAGTCCAAATTTTATAATTTAAATTTAGTCTCTATAGAATATTTTGTTGGAATATAATTTTTATTTTTTCACACATCATTATTTTTAGTTAAATTACATTAATTAGAAAGACTAAAAATAATAGGTTATGAAAAATAATAGTTTGTGAAAAGGAAAAAACTTTTAAATTATATAACTTTTTAAAAATAAACACTTAATTGAATCTTATTTTATTAAATACTTTGTTAATCTCGGATATGTTTTGTTTGGTTAGAAGATAAATGTTATGGCACAGAAGTCTCAAGAGGAAAGATGGCATGGTGACTTACTATTAGCATCTACTTATCTACATAGTTGATGATAGCTGTATTCTAGTTAGCTTCTAAAACAAACATGGACCCAAACCTCACCATTTGCTCCAACTTTTTATGACCATCAATACCATTTTGTTGACTATATAATACAAAGCCAGCTCATGTCTTTCATTTCAACCAATATCAGTAATGGCTCAACATATATTGTTAGGAGTTATAAATTTTTATAATAATATTTTTATTTCCTTTTATTATATAATCTATTAGTTAGAGAATTAATACAATATTTTCATTTTTTATTTTTAACCAAAGATACTGTTACCAATTCTTTATATATAAAGAATTTTTCTGTATGGTTATTATTCATCACAAAAACTCCATTAATGAGCTTAATTAAAATAAGCATCTCTGTGCTGTACCCACTTGCCTGTGCCCTAATTATTGGACAGCACGTGATGTGCACGTGATCCACAGAGAGGAATCGGGTACATACATGGGCTACGGCGTGTAACGATAAACAAACTATCAATAAATGTTACAATGATTGCGCAGAATGAAAATTGGGATGCTTATTAATCTCAAAAGTTGCAGAAAATAAACTATGGTTTATCGCATTAGTAAGAAACCAAGAATGCTCTTTGTTTTACATATAGATTTTAATTATGAACTGATAATTAAATAAAGATTTTCTCATAATTTAGTGTTCCATTTTTTTTTTAATGTTGTGGGAATATAACAATAGATTTAATATGAAGAGACCTGATATTTACATGGCAAAATAAATAAATGAATCTATATACCGTTTTCTCCATATTCTGAACAAAGTGTGTGTTTAATTTTGTATATCAAAAAGTCTAATGCACACTCTTAAAAAATCATATTAACAAAAATTCAAACATACTATATGTTATATAAGAGTTTAATTATGAAATTTACAATCAGTTTTAATGGAAAATAGAGACCCCAATGTAAGATTTGATGATAAAAAGGAAACCAAAGATAAAACATGAGAACTGCAGAGGCTAAAGAAAGAACGATATGAAAAGGACAATGTAATCTTTTTCTGGACCCTATATTATATCATGTCTTTTTCCTGAACATTTATACCTGGTTTTTATATTTGACTTTCTACATTTTGCACCCTTTTCAGGCCTTTGATACATTTAATTATCATCTTTTTGCATTGTATGAATATTTATTAATTCATACAAAGATGAAATATAAATCTAAAAATTACACACATTATATGAAATTAATTAAATTGAAATCTATAAATATTTGTTTTTAAAAATTACTAGTAATTAAAATGTAAAAAATTATTTTAGTATTTTAAAACTATAAAAAAATCATTTCAAAATTAAAACATTATTTTGATGAATACTTGTAAACATCTCACTACATTTAGTATTGATTAAAAAATAACATTTATTAAAATGATTAATAATGTTTAAAATATTTTTAATTAAATAAATACAAAACTTTTACTTATTTGATACAAAAGCCCATGCTCTCTCTCTCTCTCTCTCTCTCTCTCTTTATATATATATAACTACACCTATAGTTTCAAAATTTTTAAGAGTAACATCATTTTATTTTATTATTTAACAAAAACAACCCTTTCCTTTTAATATAATTTTTTTCTTTCTGGTCTTAGCATTTACACATATTTTTGGCTATGTTTAAGCAGTCAACAATAAAAATTGCAGTTGCCATCAGATGGTCCCCCCAATGGGCCCTTACGTTATAGCCCATTGTTTATTTTGGTTGGACTTAATACAATTTTCAATTTTCCAAATTCTGTTCCATCCTATAAGGCCTCTCTTACTTGATAAAAGTTGGACCTAAAAATTCGAATTTTTGTTAAAAAAAAAAAAAGGGAGACAGAATTTCTTTAATAATTTAAAATACGAAACTTAAATTGAACAATCGACCGCCATTTGTTTTCTGAATAGAATTGTATTTCATAATGGCTCGAAATAGTCATTATTTTTGCTTTCCTTTCTGTTTAAGAAGATTTGATGTTTTTTCTTCAAAACTGAAAAAAAATAAAATTTGAGAGTGAATAATTCAAAAGTTTTTTTTTACAAGTAGAATAAATAATCCCCCCCCCCCTCCCCATGTTTCCATTTTCCCTTTATTGCAATGAATTCATAAGAGGAAAATAGTTTAGTATTCAACAATATAATATTTCCCTTTTTTCAGCTCAGTTTAATAAATGTGAGAATGTTTCTTACCTTAAAAAGACAAAGGGAATGAGAGAACATGGCTGTACTTATCTGAAATATAAAATGAAAGAAGAGTGGGAGTCACAATAAAAGTGTGAAAAAAAAATGAGGGCCACACAAGGATGAGATTGACACACAAGCACAGCATAGATATCATCCATAATAACAGTGTCGTATAAGTTTTTGGCAAATCCAAATAGTTTGAGATAGAAAAAGGTGTGGAAGCCATGCACAACCCACAATCATAGGAAGCTATCTCAAAAAGGATGAGTTTGCTACATACCCTTTGTTGTGGCTTAGCCATTGTAGCTCTCCACTGTCACCATCCTTAGTCATTGGATTTGATAATATGACCCAATATTTAATCCTATACAACAGTGGCCACTAGAATGTGTGGGTCAAAAAATAAAGTGCTAATGCATGGGATATTTGAAGGGTAATCAATAACAATTGTTCCTTGTTTTTCATTCAGGGCTTGTGTGCAAATTTTACCAATCAATAAAATAGCACATGTGAGTGATTTTACAAACATTCCTTCTTCTTTTTTTCCCTTAACTTTTTTCTTTCTATTATATGTTGTTCAACCTTGTTTATTACTGATGAGAAAATCATGTTTTATTGTACTTCGAAAGTACAAACTATATTAAAGTTAATTAGAAGGGTATTTAAATCTTCAGTTATGTAAGTATTTGTTGTTGAGCTTTATCATCATCAAACATATAAGTTATTAAGCACTTAGTAATCTGGGAGATTGAGCTCCACACGGCAATCAGATGATCATAAACTGTAAGCATGATGGTGTTTGCCATGTTATTTTATAGAATCATCAAAGAAGCATGGCATCATTGATGGCTGCTCCCGTAAGTAATTCAACAGCAAGAGTGTTTAAGGGGATTTCTTTTAGTTGAAAAGTGTCTATCATGTCTTTCTCTTCGCCTTTATGTTTTCTTTAAAATTTGAGCATGCATGTACTTTGTTTTTCAAAATATAAAATAAACTAAGATAGAGCTAGCTTCGAAATTTGTCATTATTCATTTGATCGAAATTCAAAGCAAACGCAATCACTTTTTTGGTTTTTTTTTTTTTTTTGAAAGTATTGGGTGTAGTTGTGATAAGTTTTCTTAATGCTAAAATAATTTAGAGAACTACTTTCTGTTGTCTAATATGAATGAATGTTAATGTTTACTTAGTGATAATTAGTTGGTATTTAATTACAGCCAAAAAATATCATTAGAATCATCAAATTTGGCTGGGTTATAACGAGCATCGAGGGTCTGTATCTCTTAATGTAAGAGAATTATTGAGTGGTTTGAAATTACCACGTCCATAGTTTTGGCTAAACACTTTATGGCATATGGCAAAATTTTATTATTATTTTTCTTCTTAATTAAAAAACATGGCCATGTATCACATGGCAATTGATGGGAACTATGGACACTTGGTGGTCCTAGACTGCCGGATAATTTTCCCTAACATGATGCCTCACCGATCTCTCATTTTTCTCTTTTTTCCGAGGTAGACACTTACATCTATATAATTGATAATTTTGTACCCCAAATTCTAATGATCATACCACTGTTCTATTGCAATTAATTAAGATTCACATGTGCAATGTACTCTGCTTATATGACATTTGAACTCATCTTATTGTTCTCATTATGTTTATCTTGGTGTCATCACCTGTACTATACCTAAAATATTTATTGTTTGTGAAAGAAAAAGATGTGCAAACTATGGTGAACTTGGCCTACTCATCCTCATCATTGAAAGTAGTTTCCCCATAAATACTCTATCTGTAGTCTGAGAACATCATGTACTAGTAAAAATCTACAAACCTCTTTTGGTCATGCTTGTCTGGGACCAAAATATCTGAATGAGGTTAGACCCAGTTGGCATAGTACTTGTTGTGTTTTAGGTTCAACCACCATTGCCTTCGAATAATCTGTTCTTTAAAGTTTTGAAGTTTCTGGGCCAAATGAATTGTTTACGGATAGCTCAAGTTGACTTGTTCTCTCCCTATGACTCTATGTTTTGCTTTGTTGCTAGGTAGTTGATATGGGACCAACATCCCATGCTATAACAAGGTACATTTTTTTGTTAAATGTCATTTGTCATACTCATGAGACGATGGGCCAAGTGTTCAATTAACCACACAAATTGTGCAATGTGCATAGGGATAATATTGCCTCCAAAAGAGTGTGGGCTATAGGGTATTTGTTGAAATTATATGTTCCTTTAATCGGGAAAGAGAGGCCAACCATATCACTTCTTCCTCTTGGTCTCAAATGAAACAATCCCACGATTCAAATTTTATGATAGGGTAGAATAACATGCATTTTTTATGTGATAACGATACTGTACAGTTATCGGTTCAACTTCTCTTGGTACAAAATGCATTAATTGTTTTAAGCCAATATATAATTTAAATAAACATAACCTCACCAAGATGGATATTAAATTGAAAGGATGAGGATGACACTAAGTCTTATCTACATTTGTAAAGAATGAGTTCCAACTCCCATCACTATCTTTACGTGATACCCTTCATTTGTAGCACGAGGTTAGCAGTTTCTAGTACCCAATAATGTAGGATGAAAGCAAATCCGAGGAACACACACCCCAGAAAAAATTATATTGTCTTTTTTAGTGTTTTTACTGAAATATTAGTTCTTATTTCAATATGAAATTTGTTATTAAGAGGATTAGTTGGTTAAATTTTAGGCAAAGGACTTTAAAAGGGAACAAACAGGGTTATCTCTGTCTGTGATGGGAATGCCACGTATTGAACAATGAAGATGGCCCTATTAATGGAAGCATATCCGAAAAGTCTTGGCTGGTTGGTCGTCCCACCCTACTTCATCCAAATGAGCAGTCATGTATGTACATACAATTTGGAATCATAACCTTCTGGTCATCCTCTGATAATATGAGTCATTATCTAGTTATCTTATCCGTAATCTATATCTATCACACATTCCCTTAATTCAAGAAATCAAAAGCATTGACATAAAAAAAGGAAAGAAATCAAATGCATTATAGACACAGAGGGATTGTTTGCTATATGGTGTTAAACTGCATAGGACTAGGTACACTTAAATCAATTTATAAATATAGTTTGGAGGGAAAGAATTAGATATTGTTGTTATGCTTGTATTAAAATTCTTACAATTCAATCGTAGATGATAAATCAAAGTACTTATTATTCACATTCACATGAGGTAATTTACATTCTCTCTCTTGGAATATGATGTATTTTAATAAATTTTTTTAAAATCTACTTCATTTTCTATATTTAGTTAAATACAATTTAAATTCTGACTTTTAAAAATCTGTGACATAAAATCCTATACTAGAAAGTGTGCAAAGAGGCCTTTTTATTACTCAAACCTCTAACTTCTCTTAACACAAATACTCTCAAATTTCTAATCTTTCTTCTCTCTGCAGTGATCATCAGATAGTATATGATCTGTGGAGCGCTTTCACGAATTGTTTTAAGAGCCTTTTCCATATCAATCGCATGTTCTGAATTTCAACTTCAAGCACTAGTGGAATCAGAAGGGCATCTTGTGCGTTAAAAAAAAAAGTTTCTTGTTTCCTGGCACACCAGCTAACTTGCTTACTCATCACATCTGTTAGTAACATGCGCTAAACGCCACTTACAAATTACGAGACATGTAATTGGATCGAAATTTTAACTAAATAATTATTCTACAGTAATGTTACAAATAGATATCTTAGTCTTTGTGTCCTTGGTATTCAACTAACTAAATTCCCACATGAACCAACTCAACCAAATTCGTATAAAATTGCAAACCCTAACACAAATCTACCACATATAACCAAAAGTTCCCAGCATTATTCTCTTCTTTTGACTGACCCCACTTAACAAGATAAATTGCAAACAAACTATGGTACCAAAATCTTTGCACAACATCCTCAAAGGGTTCCGATTAGCATGGAGAATGTGGTACTGATACAGCTTCTCCCACCAAAGTAAAAGAGGAGGTCAATTTACTGGGATATTCGCTATGCAGAAAAATACAATGGATCAGAACAAAATAGTCAAAAGTTGTTTTGCTTGCCCCAGTGGAAGATTGCCTGAAGATCATCTTTTATCCATTGTTTAATTCACCTGTCTAGAAGTGAAAAGAAATGGCAATTAGCACCTAGTGAACCAAGAATAGAACACCAACATGGATGCGGACTGAGAATAAATAAATAATAATACGCTGGAGTGCTGAACAGGATAACGTAAAACTTACAATTGCTTCCTCCACATTCAAAGGCATTGAAGAGTCAACTGAGAATCCCAACTCTAACATTAGTTTTTCCAAGCGATTCACATTTGTCAAATACAGATACCCAACCTATTTCAATGTCCGTGTCAGATAAGAGGCTAAAAACAAGTTTCAAATTATAGAAAATAATTTGTTTCTGATTATTCTGATCAAATTCTCTGATTGTCCAAAACTGTTGTATCGTCAACAAACCGTAAGGACCCATTAGTAAGCATTTTTTCATTTAAGTACCAAATGTATAGTGTTTTTTTTAATGGATTAAAACAAAACGTGGTACCTAATGTAGGGACAATTTTTTAATTATTTATGTTTGAGTTTTAACAATAATAAGCAAATTACTATGTTTTAGACTTGCAGTTGGCATGGCCATTTCAGATCGGGCAAGTATACAAAGGAAACTCCCAAGAATTAGATAACTATTTTGGCCATGATTTTTATTAACAGAAAAGAACTTAAAGTTTGAAGGCACTGACTAATGTTTCTAGTGAAGATGCTCTGCTATACACAGCTGCACCAGCACGTTTCTTTGTCTTGGTTTTGCTAGAACCAATATTCTTTCCCCATCGAAGAACGTCCCTGCGTAAAAGATCATTAAAGCCATAAGCCAAAACAGAAATCATAATAGATCTTCTATGATCTCCCAACTCCTATAAGGCTAGGAGTGTATTATCCCATATTGAACCAGTACTGTATTAGCATGATCATCAATAAGTCCCTTTGTTTTTTTTTTTTTTAAACAATGTTTATTATCTACTGGCTTCATCCAATCATCATCATTTACCAAGCATGAGACACAAAATCAATCTGGGAATGGATAGGATATAGGGATATAGAAGCACTGGGTTAAAAATCAAGATGTAGAGCAATAGTCATCTCTAAGCATAGACCTTTAAAATAGTGAACAGACTAAAGATCAATATGTATATAAGATTAAAGTTCATTTATTTGGAACATTTCCGAGAACCAAAATTACTATTGGAGACCAGGATGCATTCAAAATATAGACTTGAATTAGAGAAAGCATTATAGACATATAACAGGATCTTGTATTTCAGAATCTTCCCAACAAGACTTCATAGAATATTATACTAAAAGAGAAATTAGGTGTGAGCACATGCGTTGAGAACTTGAGAGAGAGAGGGAGGGGTGAGGCCCTGAAAGTAACATATTCTAACCTCTCTTGATCTGATAAGAAGTCAGTGTCAAGAAGTTTCTGCAGTAATGCATCCTGGAATGCAGAAAACATGAACAATTTATTATATGCTATAATTCAATTACAAAAAATATTTTATATTAGTCAGTAACAATCAATGTAAAAACACTAGCAATGCATAGCTAGAATAAGTAATTCAAACAATGAAGAAAAACTCACAAAATTTGGCCTACAGGAAAAGCTTCTGTAGATTGTGAGCTAGAGTTAAGAGGAAAAAAAGCTAAGCACATGATTTTATTATTAAAATTCAATCTGAAATATGCTTAGTGAATTCCTTTTGTTCCCTCCCCGGATTAAATCATTTTCCATTTAAACAAAGCTCATTATTGTGGTCCATGATTTACGTCTGGTGATGAAAACATTTAAAGCCCAATCATGAGAAACAAATTCTGTCAAACACACTATGGAAGAAATCTTATATGCATGTAAAGCTATATGAATGGATTTGGACAAAGAACACATAAATAGTACCAAAGTTGAGAAAAACATAGATGGTGTTCAAGACACAGAGACTTAAAATTAGGTGATAAGTGACAACTGAGTCTAACATGACTACCCGAAAGCAGCAAAGGGTCTCTCTCCCCACCACCACTATCATTATATTATTATGAAATTAAATAATTAATTGCCAATGCAATAATCAGAATCATCTTTTGGCGTTGAAATATCAAAGAGAATGAAAAAACCCTTCATCTGTAAAGGACAAGTATATAGATTAGATAGAAAAGATGAAAGGCAGCATTTATGCCCATCAAAATGCAACTATACAAGATCTAGCATGTGATCTAACTTCATTGCATACATAGTACACGAAGATAAAATAAAGCAGCAAGGAAGAAATCATACTTGAGCCTCACAACGCACAACTGCCATAACACGATCATTGTATTCATCGATACTAAGGGGAGGAAATAAAAAGTGCCTACGAGCATATAGCTGCATATTTTAAGAATGAAAAAAAATAAAAAACAGAATGAGAATAAGATATCTAGAAGCTTAAAAAATCACAAGAATGCTTAGAATTACGGAATACAAATTACGCAACAAACTATGCCTGTTCAATTGACGTAGTTAATGAAAAGTTATTTATCTCATAAAAGAAAGTAATGAAAAAGAAACAAACCTCATATATGCAATCGCCAATGTATGCCAAAGTAGCAGCGTTAAAAACAGATCGAGGCTTCACGACCTTGGGTGGAGTTGGCAACCATCTCTCAAGCCCCAAGTAGGTTTCATCATGCTCTTCTACGTGCGCTGTAAGAATAATATATTATAATACAATAAAACAAGCAAGCGAGAAATTCGAAGGTAACTGAAAATATAAAGGAAGAAGAAGGAAGCGAAAACCTAGAGTGGGAAGAGGGGTGGCGCGCTTGAGAAGATCAGAAATGTATTGCTCTTTTCGCGTAATTGGTGCAGTCGAAGTGGGAGTGGGAATGGGAACGGGAACGTTGTTCTTCTTAAGCTTTCTAGGAGCATTAGGGTTATAAGGGAGTCTCTGTTGTGTGTCCCATGAACCTCTCACTTCCAATTTCAGAGAAGAAGATGAAGCGGATAACACACCCTGCAATTGCATTCTGTTTGGCCAGAGTGATAGAAGTGGCAGTGCCAAAGATATTTCTGTATTTCAAATGGGCTTTTACCGCTGTTGCTCTTGGGCTTGGGCTCTCACGTTTATTTGTCGGCCCAAAAACTTGTTTACAACGTGTCTTAGAAGGGCGGTGCTGCTCTGCTTCGACATACTCGCGCTAGTAGGGCGTGCTGCTCTGCTCCACTTCCGCTCTCTGCCTCCGCCACGTAAGCATGAGCCGTTACGACAGCCGCTCCGGCGACCCTGCTTCCTACCGCGACCGAAGAAGGTAACTCCCTCTTCCAATTTCCAATCCTCTCTTTTTGGGTTCTTTTCTCTGCACGAATATCACTGTTCCCTGTTGCTGAAACGCTTCGTTTGTGTCAGTGATTCGGGGCTAGGTGCATCTTCAGCTACAGGCTACGGTGGTTCAAGCAGAAGGGAGTACGACGACGGCGGGTCAGGGTCGCCCCGGAAACTTAATTTGGATGGGTTGCCTCATTTCGAGAAAAACTTCTACAACGAAGCAATCGCCGTTAGGGAAATGACGGAGGCCGAAGTTAACGAGTATCGTCAACGGCGTGATATCACCGTCGAAGGCCGAGATGTTCCGAAACCTGTTAAAAGCTTTCACGATGTCGGTTTTCCGGGTACTTACGTATATGATTCTCGTGCTATAATTAGTTTTTTGGTTGTTACAAGGATGCTGTGTTTTTTAACGTTGTTACTGATTTTGCGACGTTGATTGATTTAACCAGAATATGTAATGCAAGAAATTAAGAAAGCTGGGTTTGTTGAACCTACACCGATTCAGTCCCAGGGTTGGCCTATGGCTCTGAAGGGACGTGATCTTATAGGAATTGCGGAAACGGGATCAGGGAAGACGCTTGCGTACTTGTTGCCTGCAATTGTGCACGTTAATGCCCAGCCAATTTTAGGTGAGCTCATGAGGAAGTTAAACAATGTGACTGGGATGTTATGTTTAAGGTGGTGCCTTTGTTTGCCTTTGACACCTTTTGTTTTGATTGTCTTTTAATTCGTTTGCTGTGTTTTTCAGATCCTGGGGATGGACCTATTGTGTTAGTTTTGGCTCCGACACGTGAACTTGCTGTCCAGATACAACAAGAGGCTACTAAATTTGGTGCCTCATCTAGGATTAAGAGTACGTGCATATATGGTGGGGTTCCAAAGGGGCCTCAGGTGCGTGATCTCCAGAAAGGTATGTGGTGAAGTAAGTATTAAGTGACTGGCCTTTTTGTTGTAATAACTTCAGGTTAGCTTTATATTTTGTAATGACTTTGAATTTGATGTTGTCTTTGGTAACTTTTGGGGTCAGGTGTTGAAATTGTAATTGCCACTCCGGGAAGGTTGATTGATATGCTTGAGTCAAATCATACTAACTTGCGGAGGGTTACCTACCTGGTATTGGATGAAGCTGATAGGATGTTGGACATGGGGTTTGATCCTCAGATACGGAAGATTGTCTCTCAGGTGACTTTATTATCTAGCATCTGATTAATATTTTAAAATTGTAAATATTAAGAAATGGTAGATGGTCATGGTAGTGTTGGTTTGCATATTCAAATTCCTTTCCTTGATACTTCATCGGCATGTTTGTAATCTTGCAATTCTATGTTAAGTTTCGTTTGGGAATGCTGTATCTATTTCATGAAAGGGAGAGAGAGATAGGTATGATGTGTGTTCTCTATCGCCGCTAATTTTATTCCTATTTCTGAACATGTAGATACCTGGAACAGAATTCATGGGGTGATTTGTTTGCTTTCCTTTCCCAGTGGCCCAAATTTCCAAGGCTTGCAATCATGGAAGTAAACTGTTTTTATTATTATCATCTGGGTGGATAAAAGAATTTTATTTGGTAGAAAGGTCACTACTAAGGAAGGATAAGATATCCTCTGAGAAAAGCAAACAACAATACACTGAACTGAAGAGCATTGAATGACATCAATGCAAGATAGAATGCAACTCCTGTAAGATTTCAGTTAAAGCCCACCCTTTCAAAGCAACCGTTGGATAATAACCATAGAAAAGGCTAAGAAATTATATTATATCCCATCGAACTGAAATGATCTGAAATTTTGGTTTGAGAAGCTCAGGATTGAGGACAAACACAATGCACCAAATAGTGGCTTCCAGAGAGGAGTGCATAATGTATTGAATCATGAGACATTACTCTAAATCACTTCTTACTAGATAGGACACCTTATGATATGAATAAGCTCATCATGGAAATTGATGGCATTCAATCTGAGTTGGATTAGCAAACACAGATTGCTGAAGCTGCAGATTAAATTAGTTTATTCTCTTGGTTATCTGATGATTGTTTGATTTTTTTTTCTTTTTTTTTTCCTTCCTTTATGTAGATTCGTCCAGACCGTCAAACTTTGTACTGGAGTGCCACCTGGCCAAAGGAGGTTGAACAATTGGCAAGGCAGTTCCTTTATAACCCATACAAAGTAAGATATTTTCTTGTCGGGGCATCTTGAGTTGTTTTTTAATACCATTTCTCTGTTTGTGGTCACTTAGATTTATATTTTTGTAAGGAAGGAGTTTGTTTGTTCATGAATGGTGTTGTTTGTGAGAATTTAATGTACATATTGATTATTTCATTAACAATTTCTGTAACCATTATGCAGGTAATTATAGGTTCTCCAGATTTAAAAGCTAACCATGCTATACGGCAATATGTTGACATTATTCCTGAAAGGCAAAAATATGATAAGTAGGATATGATAATATGCTATATTATTTTCACTCGCAGTCCTAACTTTAACCCCTTATCAGATAGAAGAACCACCTAATCTAGTCAACTTATTTGTCAGATTGGTGAAGTTGCTGGAGGATATCATGGATGGCAGCCGAATACTGATATTCATGGATACTAAGAAAGGATGTGATCAGATTACTAGGCAGCTCCGCATGGATGGTTGGCCTGCACTTTCAATTCATGGAGATAAAAGTCAAGCAGAAAGAGATTGGGTGCTCTCAGAGTTTAAATCTGGAAAGAGCCCTATTATGACTGCAACAGATGTGGCAGCTCGTGGTTTAGGTACAGAAGTTTTTGCATAGTTGTTTAAATGACATTCTTATTCAGTATAAGAAATTGAAATAGTGCTCTAACTCTAGTTTTGGAAATATACAATACTTTTGTTGAAGAGGATTTATCTGAATTAATTTAATGTTAAGACTAGGTTCCTTCCACCATATATTTTAAATACTTTTTAACTTCCTAATTTTTTTAATGCACTTTTGAGCCATTTTTTATGGCTAGATTTTGCATTTATTTACTCTTTCCTATGCAACTAATGCGAGAAACTTATTTGTTGTTTGGACCAAGCAATCTTAGTTATCCTTGCCATTATAATTTTTATTTTTGCAGCCATGAGCCCCAGTTCATATTGGCAATTTCCTCTGTGATGATGGATAATCTCTGCTTGAATTGTTTGCCATCGAAAGTTGTAATTGCCTTATGCTGCGGGTCAATCTCATATCATGTATAAGCCATTCTTACTTTATGTGGTGGCTTGAATAGTAAATGGTTGTTTCTGTTACTGATGACTTCAAGTTCTATTTTTTATTGGTTAAAACCATTGGGTTCAATTCTTTGTGCACATCAATGTAACCTTCGTATCCAAAAAGAGCCCAAGGCTATGTAATTAAAGCTAGGTTAAATTATTCTCTTAAGTCCTTATAGTTTCACTAAATTTATAAATAAGTCTTTATAGTTTAAAAAATTGGTGGAGTTCCTATGATTTTAAATAAGTCCTTACTCATGAACAGACTCCAACAACTTTTTGTTAAATTACAGTGACATATTAAAAACATAGATAAACTATGGATTTATTTGACAGACAGCACAATCAAATAAGTGTTTATACTTAATCTGAGCTTTCAAATAGGTTCATTACTTAATATGGTTTAGCAAAAGTTAAAGGTAATTAGCATTTAAGGACTAATATTTATGGGGCATAAAGACAAACAATGAGAACCTATTTAAAAGTTCAACAAATTTTATGTGGACTTGTTGTGGAATAATTTAACCAAAAAACTATTTGCATTAGGTTTCTTTTGCTCCTGGTTGAATTGGACACTTTTGTTTAAGAAAATGTTGTTTTTAACTTACACTGATCGCTGTCCATTTGTATCTTGATCCTTTCTGTTATTTGGTTGCTGATAGATGTGAAGGATGTGAAGTATGTGATAAATTATGACTTTCCGGGATCACTTGAGGATTATGTTCATCGCATTGGTCGAACTGGGAGAGCTGGTGCAAAAGGAACTGCATATACATTCTTCACAGCTGCCAATGCCAGATTTGCAAAGGAACTTATATCCATACTTGAGGAAGCTGGACAGAGAGTGAGTCCTGAATTGGCAGCAATGGGGCGTGGTGCACCTCCTCCACCTTCAGGTTAGTTGTTTAACTGGACTCGCATATAACTTGGCTACTATATACCCATACATATATTGGTTCCCTGCCTCTGCCCTCAATTTTTGGTTGAGGGTATACTGTATACCTTAATTATGTTTGGATGACATGGATTCAAAGGGAGTTATTTTATTTGGTTTCTTGGCCTGTCTTTTTTTAGTAAAATTATATTTTACCACTCACTCAATGGCAGCTTCTAATGGGAGTTATGCGGAATGATTTGGTAAGTGAAAGTTTGTGATCTAATGCTCAGTTTGAGAGTGCTGGGGCGGGAGGCTTTTTTCAAATTTATAACATTTAGCATTTACAGAATTCATGCTTTATTTGCTATGCACATTTGATTTATGAAAATCTCGTTTATATTCCTTCCATTATCAATCAGGAGGCTTCCGAGACCGTGGAAGGGGTTATGGCAGCGGTCGCCCATGGAGCTGATTGATGGAACTACCTTTAAATTAGCTTTTTGTAAGAATAGTGGTAGGAATTCGGTTTTCTTCTTTGTTAGAATCTTTTTCCATATTTATTTGGTTGAAATGTTCATGTAAGATGGAGGACCCTTGTATGTACAATCAAACAGTTGTTCATACTCTATTCATTCTGCAAAAGGCGAGGATGCACGTGATTTAACTATATCGTCGTATTGTTTTTCATATTTATGGCTCGCGGATCGTGTATAAAGAAAAGTAGGAATATAAAAAACACAACACTGTAATTGACGTAATTCTTTGACTTGAAGAAAATTAAATAAAACGAGAAAGTGGTTCAACTAAGTTTTTGTATTGGGGACAAAAAACATGAAAATATTTCTATTACTACATTTTTAACTACTTGAACTAACAAATATTTTGAAGACTTGATTGTAACAATTAAAATTTTAAAAGATTAAATTTAAATAAAAGTAGAATCTCATTAGAGAAATAAAGGAATAGAGAACATTTGAACCAAGAATATTTAAGATAGCATTACCCCGTTAATTTCTAACAATTCTTTGTTTTTCAATTATTAGAATTAACACGCAGTTCAGCGTCCTAGTTCCTCGAATTTCAAGTACTGTACATATGTATCCTATTCTTTTTGAAGTATAGAACGAGATGAAAATCTAGATCTATTGTTGCAATGGCATTACAAGATGAATGTCGAATTAGGACACTTGAATCAAGGTTAAGTAATTTAAATTAAGATATAAAAGCTAGCTGATGAATTAAGGTTAGCGTCAGAAAACATATGTAGGTAAATCAAGAAACGGGCCAATATGAAATTGATGTTAAAAGAAGAAAAAAATGGAATTAGCGACAATAATCAAAGGTTTATAAAGCTTAATCAAATTAAGTTGGGTATACATATGAAATCTTCTCCTTGGAAAAGAGATGCTTTAGTTTTAAATATCATCTTTCCTAAACATTTGGCACTCTTGTTCTTGCTCGGTTCAATCATACGAACATACTCCAACACCTTTTAATTTATTAAGAATGATTTAAACAACGAAGAATAAAATTTTAGTAAAGAGATGGTAAAAAGCACATGCATGTGCCCTCTAGCATATAATACGAGGAAAAAAATGGAAATGAACTAAATGATGGTAGCATGAGAGGTTGGGGGAAGATTGGATTGGGAAATAATTTTTTAGAGAGAGAGAAAGAGATGGACAAAAATAGGGGCGGAGGATGATGATGATGATGATGGAGGAATGTGATTGAACTTATTGAGTCTCACATGAAAGCACGAAAACAATCATGCTCTTGTGGGTGGGGACTTCTCCCTTTTATTTTGTATATATGAAGCAAAATCATAAATTAACATTTTACATTTCATAATCTCAAGAATTGAAAACCTTATTCTCTCACTTTATTGTATTTGACATTTTTTAACCAATGAAAGCAGCATTCGTATTTTGAGAACAGCAAGTTTTGATTGATATATGGCTTTGTAAAGTTAATAAAATAAGGTCATTTTAACGGTGAAACTGTGGTCTTCTCTCTCTCACTATTAAAATTAATAAAAAAAACTGTAAAGAGGTGTATTTATTCAACAAACAATCAGAGTTTTATATAATATTACTTTTTTACAAATGAGCTGTACATTTACCATCATTATACTTGTTTTATGTAGGTTGTGTGGTTTACTTCAGAATGTTTTTAGAATTATTGGATTGAAATAAAGAATGATGTTGAATTATGAAAAAAAAGAAGTAAAAACTTATATAAATCAATTTTTAACAATTTGTTGAAGTTACTATATTAGAATGTAAATACTTCTCCAAACTGTACATCCCCAACCCGATTCAGAAAGATGATGTTGACCCAGTTAAAGTCCAAAAACTCTTGTGTCAGTGCACCCAATTTATTATTATTTTTTTAAGAAAATAAGTCTCGTATCTATGCCTCTGAATGCAATGAATCTATATATTATAAATATTCTCATTGGCACCGTATAAGTTAGCACACGTGCACTACTCAATTCTTCCATAGAAAACATCGTCATGTGTGTATATATTTGTTGTGACCATCATATGATTACCAACATTTAAGCCAAAGCCAGTGGTATTATAGAGTCTGTGTGCAAAATAATGGACAACATTTGGATTGTGTTTGTGATAGCACTTCTCTTGTCCACTGTGTTACTCATCCACATGAGAACTACACTCAAAACTAAACGCATAAATCAACTTCCATTAGGCACTCTTGGATGGCCTTTTATCGGTGAAACCATTGAGTTTGTTTCTTGTGCTTACTCTGATCGTCCTGAGAGCTTCATGGACAAGCGACGCCGCATGTAAGTTCATTTGTAATAACGTTTTATAGTCATAGTTTGATAATATAATTTTCATGTGCTTTAGTATCATTTTTACCACAAGTTAGTTGTAGGTTCTGCTACCATGCATGTTTGTTGGATTTCATACTGTGATATGATGCAATGAATTTAACAAAGTAAAATCCATCTGGGGTGTTAAAGTTTCATTGTTTTCATGTTTTGCATACAGAATTGAATCTACAAATTTATATAATTTTTTGACAAGGCTTTAGGACTTTGCAACTTGTAGGTATGGCAAGGTGTTTAAGTCACACATATTTGGAAGCCCCACTATTGTTTCCACGGATGCAGATGTTAACAAATTTATAATGCAAAGTGATGCAAAGGTTTTTGTTCCTTCATATCCCAAGTCTCTTATCGAATTGATGGGGGAGTCTTCTATTTTGGTCATCAATGGAAGCCTACATAGGAGAATACATGGACTCCTTGGAGCATTCTTCAAGTCTCAACAGCTCAAGGCTCAAGTCACTAGAGACATGCATAAGTATGTCCAAGAATCAATGGCAAATTGGAGGGAGGACCACCCCATATACATACAAGATGAAACCAAAAACGTATGCTCTTTTTTCCTTCTCTTCTCTATATGCATGAAGGGGTGCATGTGTTTTTGTGTCCATCTATCTTCATCTCTCTCTAATATGGAGAAGTGGATAGAATCCATCTCCAAAGTTTTGAGTTTTAATCTTACCTCCATGATTAAGGTGACTTCTCATAGATATTCTAGCTTTTATGAAAATAACCACTTCAAAGTTGTGTGTCAAAGCGCTCTCTCTCTCTCTCATTATGTTATTGGCGATTGATTTGTCTCTCTAGCTAATACCTAAGTTTCAAAATCATATAGGTATAAAAGTAAAACGTTCAATTGTCTTTATGGCGTTCATAATCATTTTGCATATATCGTGCTGCTTTGATAATTAGATTCATAATTATAATGGTATGATATTTTCTAAGATACTAACAAGTACGTGTTTTCCCCCCTTAAGATTGCCTTCCAAGTACTAGTCAAGGCTTTGATTAGTTTGGATCCCGGTGAAGAAATGGAGCTTCTCAAGAAACATTTTCAAGAATTCATCTCTGGTCTCATGTCTTTACCAATACACCTGCCAGGAACTAAGCTTTATCAATCTCTACAGGCAAGTTTAGTTTATTAATTAGATGTTGGTTTAATACTTGGTTATTTTAGGAAATAAAATAAGGAATACAAGCTATTAATTGATCTTACTTATTTATATATAATCATATGATTTATATTTAAAATTTTTATACTCTTAGAATAAAAATTATTCCTGTTATATATATAGATATAGATATATAAGGTTAATAGTTTTTGAAAATTACATGATCAAAGAAAGTAATTTGTTTTCACATTAAGAAAAAGTAATTTTATTTGACATGTTTCCTGTGTATGTGTTATATGCTTAGCCTGTTAGTAATTACTTCACTATTGGCTCCAGGCCAAAAAGAAAATGGTGAAATTAGTGCAGAGAATTATTCAATCAAGAAGAGATAGTGGCATATCTGAAGTACCAAAAGATGTAATAGACGTGCTTCTGAATGATGCAAGTGAACAATTAACAGATGATTTAATAGCAGATAATATTATCGATATGATGATTCCAGGAGAGGACTCGGTTCCAATTCTTATGACCCTGGCTATAAAGTATCTATCAGAATGCCCTGCAGCTTTGCAACAAATTACGGTATACCATTTCTTCTCAAATGCCATTACAATGAAAGTAATTTCTCTAAATATCATAGGAATGGATAAAGCCTCACTTCTTGTGGTGCAATTCCAAACTAGTCTCGTTGTTAATTATTTCATTATTTAACTTCTCTAAAATTTAAAGAAAAAGTATTTTTAATTTATAAAAAAAAAATTATATTATTTTTCTTCTTTTATGAAAATTTATCCAAATACTCACTTAAACTACACCAAAATTGTCATTTAACATTATTTGTTCACACAGAACTTCTTTCTTTTTCTAAATCTTACAATAGATTTTGAATTTTGCTTGGACAAATAGACAAAGTAGTTGGTAAGGTGTAGTCCTTGCTATACTATTATGTGACAATGAATCCTCAAAAGAGGGACCAAGACCAACATCATACTCGTGGAAAATCTCATCTACATAAATATTAAAGAAGACTAGAATAATTCTTGGTAAACTATATATCAATCACTTTGGTTGTAGATGCGTATGAATATTTTCTTCCCATTTCCTCCATAGGTTATGGTATATGTCGCCCATCACTATTTGACTGATTAGTTTGTGGTAAATGATTTCCACTGTTTACTAGGAGGAAAATGTGAAGCTTAAGAAATTCAAAGATGAACTTGGGGAGCCCTTGTGTTGGAGCGATTATTTATCATTGCCGTTTACTCAAACAGTAAGGCAAATGAAGGATTAATAAGATGAAATTAATTAATTAAACCATAGCTTAAAACTAATTGGTTGTGTTTTATTCATACAGATTATCACGGAAACTTTGAGGATGGGAAATATAATAATTGGTGTTATGAGAAAGGCCATGAAAGATGTTGAGATAAAAGGGTATTTAATACCAAAAGGATGGTGTGTTCTTGCATATTTTAGATTAGTTCATCTAGATGACAAAAACTATGACTCGCCTTATCAATTCAATCCATGGAGGTGGCAAGTAAGAGAAAAAATTAAATATCTTTTTTGGTTATTATTTTTGTACGTTAATTGTTTATGTGTAATATTAGTAACACTTTTTTTAATATACTTTTAGTTATTAGTTAAAATTTATTAAAAATAAGAAAAAAGACATTAAATTAGAAGTGAGAAAAAATAAAACTCATCTAATTTTTTATAAATTTTAACTAATAAATAAAAATGTGTTAAAAAAATATATTATTTAGCTTTTTCCCCCTTATTTATTCAGCTTTTTAAGTGAAAAATTGGAGTCACGTCACAGGACAAAGGCATGAACACTTGCAATTTCACTCCGTTTGGAGGGGGACAAAGGTTGTGCCCTGGACTTGACTTGGCCAGGCTGGAAGCTTCTATTTTCCTACATCATTTCGTTACTCAATTTAGGTAATTATTCTATCATTCCTTCTAATCTGTTAATACAATGAGTCATTATTAAATGCAGACTCATAATGCATTAATGCCCAAATTTTGGACCCTTCATTAATGTCTCCATATGACATAGGTCATAGGAGCAAATGCCAAATCATAACAGCTAACATGCTAGTGGCTTTTAGATGGCCTTTTTCTTTTTGCTTTCACATTTCCACTCATGATTTTATCTTTTTAAACTAAATTTGATAGCTGAAAATCGTAGAATCCACACACACACCACAAAAACCAAGTGGGTTAATGACTTATATATCTTTCTCTCATATGGGCAGAGGTGGAATCAAAATTGTGAAATTCATGGGGCTACAAAGCCATGCACACTCCATCAAGGTCCAAAAAAGGCCATATGATTGTAATTTTTTGTGCTGTATAGTGTGCTATTATCAGACTTCATATAACAATTAATAAATCCTACCTGTGATGCCTCTTGAAAGTTTTTGAGTTTTTAATATGACTTACCAAACTAGAGAAACATAGTCGTCCCCCTATCCTAGTTAGAGTTTGGTACCTAAAATACAAAGGAATATTTGACCAGTCAAGTGGCATCAATCTATATGTTTGTCTTCTTGTTAATGATGACTACAGCTCAATGTCCATCGACAGACACACAAAAAAGTCAGAGAATTGGATTTTTTTCAGAAGCATGAAGCTAAATGTTCTTGTGAATATATTTGAATTCTTTTTTCCTTTCAGGGAAACCAACATGTTTTCCTGCTTGCCTCTACCAAGATGTAACCTTACAATATTTATTTAAGGGAGGGGGGGGGGTGACTATAATGTGGAGAGATGAGAGATGTGGATCAAACTAGCTTAGGTTAAACAAAAGTCCTAGTGATATTAATCAACCACGATTTTGATGGATATGCATATATAATATACAATCATATAGTGCTTTTTGTTTTAATTTTCTACAATACTGTCATTCTGTGACTACCTATTAGACAAACATCTTCAAATGTAGTGTTTCACGTGTAGATGGTATGCTGAAGAAGATACAATTGTGAACTTTCCCACTGTAAGAATGAAAAAGAGGATGCCAATCATGGTGAGGAGAATGGAATGTTGAGCTGCCTTCATAGCTGAAAGTATGAAAAAGACAAAAACTGCAAAAGAGAAAAGGGGGTCCAAGAAGAGGTTGGCTAATATCAACACACGTGTGGGTGAAGTTCATGAACTTGATGAATTTGTTCCCTGGCTTTGTCTTTGCACAAAAAGACAATCAAAAGGTTCCATCTATTGAGGGACCATGAATTAGGCATTTACTTTTATTTCCCATTTTACTAAGTATGCAATTAAAAAATAATTTGTTGTATGGGAAAACACTGTCATCTTTTGAATCCGAATTTCCTTTTATCCTCTTGCCTTCCTACTTTTTTGTCCCTTTTTTAGTTTACCATTTCCTTTCATTCTGTGGGAGATGAAAGAAGAAGATAGAAGAATGAATAATATGAGTAAGTGGGAATAGATAATGACGGTTTATGGGTCCCATAGAATAATGATATTCATAAGAGAATTAAATGGAACTCCATTTGAATGTGTATTGATCATCCAAAGATGATTAGAGTATACATACACACTCTAATCATCTTTGAACTTTTCTGCTTCAGTTCATGTACAAATTCTCCCCCGAAATAAAAATAACTTTTAAAATGGTTTTTTATTTTAATTCCTTATTAAGACAATATAAGACAATTAAATTGCTCAGATTATGATATTGACATGAACACTTATCCTATCTTATATTAAATACATATTAAATAATGAAACAGATAATATTATGATATTATTTTTAACACATTTTTTGTAGGATAAATTTTATATAGAAAAAAAGGATAAATTTATTAGTTTAATTTTAATATAATATCAATATAAACATTTTCAAATTATTAATTAATGAAAAACTACTTTAAATGTGATTTTAAAATAATTTTATTACAAAACTAAATTAGTTTTAATTATGTGATAACTTTATAAAAAAAATTACTAGTATATATTTTACACTAATATATTTTGACAACTGGAAATTGGGTTGGGCTATTACTGAGTTGTTTGAAACAAGAAGAGTCCAACTTATGCTCCTGACAATTATTACTAATGGGCCTATATAAATCTCATTTATTAAGGCTGTAATAGTATGATTTGCCCAAAATGGAAAGCTTATTTATCATAAAAAAGCACAAGGATTTTATCAGTCTTCTTAATTAATTTTTTGGTTGTACGCGAGACTATGAAATACGACTAATATCATATTGTGAGTCATAAAAAAAATTATTTAATAATAAAGAGTGTATTTAAAATTACATATTAAAAATATTTTTTAATAAAAATATAAGTTAAAATCCAACAAATGATGTTATCAATTATATTTTATTAGTTAGAATTGGCACCCAAACTCCCAATCCTTTATCGTATATGTTTATTTATATTATAAAACTGAGTATTTCCTTTTACAATATATTAATTCTTTACATATAATATTTTTAACACGATCATGTATCTTTCTCATGTTTGGATATGTACTTAAATTAATATTAAATTTTATGAGATACTTGCAAAGCACAAGTAAAATAATTTTTTTTATCAATGGACTGTTTTAAAACCTACTAACAACTTCAAAACTTGGAATGAAGTTTGAAATTTTGATGGTATAAATACTTAAAATACACTCTATATCAATATTAAAATATTTAAAATTAGATGCCAGTGAAACTGAAAGTTGTATAAAAAAGAAAAATATTACTAAAAGTTTTGTTTATATTTATTCACTATTGTGACTAGTTTCGTGTATCATTATATGGTAAATTCTTGATTTTTTAATATTAAAAATGGGATACTGTGTATACCTAATATTATTCTCATGCAATTATGTATTTTCTTTACTTTGTAACATATGCGTCACGATCTTTTATATCAATCAAAATTAAATACACACACATAAAATATCTATAAATTATAGTTAAAATAATATCATATCAATTAAACTAATTTTAAGATGTTAAAAATAGAAAATATATATTTCTATTGAGTAAAGTTAGCTTCATGGATTAAGTAAAATCATGGTATAATATTGCACGTCTACAAAAAATTAATTAAATATTAATTTATTTGAAAATGTGTTTATTTTAAAATAAATACTGATATTATTTTAACATGCATTTAAACAATAGATATAAAATAAAATGGGGATGTAACGACGTCGTAGAAGGCAACAAAATTGCAGTGTGAGGATTGATCCTTATATTCATTCATTTATTCATTTGAGGCTTGCTGGGTTTTCCGTCTTCGCGTGCTTTATTCCATTGGGGGTTGGGAATACCCTTTTCTCTGTTTTTACAAGGCTCTCTCTCTCTCTCTCTCTCTCTCGAAGCATCTATTTGCTGTATGTATCTCCTTGTGATTTTCTTTTTTCATTTTATGAAAATTATTATTATTGTTATTATTTGGGTTGCGTTTGTGTGGATGTGCTATCTCGTGATCACGCTAGGTCATCAACCCCATAAACGTTAATTTTTTCGATTCTAAAGTTCGTGTTCATTACTCGGTAATCATGCTTTCACAAACGATTGTGCTAATGAATGGTGCCTAAATTTTGGATCTTTTCGAAATTCCCAACGATGGTTTCGTTGCTGATAATGATGCTCAATTGTTAGAATATCAACGCGTATGTAATTGTGATTATAATTGTATCTGCGTTTACCATTTTAGGTTGCTTGAAATGGCAGCAAGACACCGTATTCATAGAGAACCATTGAGTGCCAGAAGGGGGTACCCACACGAAGGGCCTTATGCTCGTGGGCCTCCTCCGATGCCGCGCCCACCGCCAATTCCTCCTCATCCTGCTGTGTTGGAAGAGGAACTTGAATTACAGCATGCTGAAATACGCAGGCTTGTTGCAGATAATAGAAGGCTGATTGATGACCGAATGGCGTTGCAACGAGACCTTGCAGCTGCCAAGGAGGAGCTTCATCGCATGAATATTGCCATTGGTGACATTCGTGCCGAACATGAGGTGCATTCGAGGGAGCTTATTGAAAAAGGAATGAAGCTGGAGGCTGACCTAAGGGCAACTGAGCCCTTGAAGAGTGAAGTTATACAACTTCGATCTGAAGTTCAGAAACTCAATAATCTCAAACAAGAGCTTACAGGGAAGGTTCAGACACTTACGCAAGATGTTTCTAGGTTACAAGCTGATAGTCAACAAATTCCCATGATGAGGGCTGAGATAGATGGCCTGCACCAAGAGCTAATGCGTGCCAGGTATCTGACTCAATTGCTAATGGGGTCTCCGTTTTTCGTTTTCAAGCCCTTTTGGTGATTGTATAACCTTATTTGTTTGCTTAAACTGATGAGAAATACATTTTTGTATTCCAGAACCATGGTGGATTATGAAAAGAAGGCAAATATAGAGTTCATGGAACAGAGGCAGTCAATGGAGAAAAATTTAGTTTCTATGGCTCGGGAAGTTGAGAAATTACGTGCTGAGCTTGCTAGTGTTGATGGCAGACGTTGGGGAGCTGGTATGATGTGTTTGTTATATTGTCCTTTGCAGAATTTATAATCCTTTAATAAAGAACTCCTTTGTGTATTTATTAGCAATTCGGGTGGTTAGGAGTATTATAATTGGCTGATTTAATGACATGATTAGAATAATGGATTATCACTCAATTCAAAGACCTGAAAAGAGGCATATCTTCAATTTTTCTGACCCGTGATTAATAATCCTGATGTGTGGGTACAACTCTGAGTATCCAAGACAACATGATGCACAAGTACAAACTCTTTTTTTTATTGAAGGTATGGGTGATGCGGTATATATTGAAAAAGCATACTTATATTATGTAAAAGTGAGACTTTAAAATTATCTAATTCTGATCACCCTAACCGGAGTCCCATGCTTTCTCTAACTTGTCTGGTGACGATGAAAGTATGATACTCTATGTGATAATTTTGAGGAGGGAAATATTGCAAGATGCTTTGAGGGAGATAATTAATTATAATGGACTTGTCCATATCTTGGTTTTTTTAACTGCAATATTTTGTGGGCAGTAGTATCCCAAAAGTTATGCATACAGGGATATACCAAAAATACAGCTGCAGCATCACGTGTACTGATATTGGATACAATATGGATAGACCACTAATCTTGGAATATTTATGCATCAGAGCTTGAAAGCTAAATCATCAATCATTATAGATAACCCAGACTTACCCATATAATTTGTATTTGCAGAGATATTACTGTTGTTCATTTTGTCCCCTTTTTCATGTTTGCTTCATTTATGAAGGTGGGCCTTATGGAACAAAGTTTGGTAGCCCAGAGGGCAGTTTTCCTGCTCCATATGCAGATGGATATGGTGTTCACTTGGTATGTGCTTTCCTCAATTTATAAATTTGGTACTCAATTTCTCAAGGGTATATTCATTTTTCATATGCTGCTGTTTAGGGTGCTGCAGAAAAAGGTCCTTTGTATGGGGCAGGTGCTGCTTCAAGGAAGGGACACGAGAAGCCTCGCTTGAATCGTCGTTGAAATTCATGTGATTGCTGTTGATGATGAAGAAAGGCTTGCCATCTCTTTGGCTTTCTGTTAGCAGAATAGCTGAGATTGAGTTTGATGTCCTTCTGTGTATGCATGCCACACCAATGGTTATTTTATCTGGAACTCTGGATAAATCATTAGTCCTAAGCTGGCATATGTAGGTTTTAGCTTTAGTTTGCTTCTTTTTGTAGAGAAAACATTGCTGCAGTATCTCTAAGTTTAGTATGATGGAATTCTTCAATTTATCTTCTATTGATACATATTTTGTGTTTCATATTATTATTTTTGTGTTTTTGGCTGGGTATTGTTATTAGCCTTTCTTCTGGGTATAAACACGTTTCTATTGATCATGGGCTGGAATGCAGCATTGCAACATTGAGGTTTTGAAACTCCCATGTGGCATGTGCTGAATCATGTGGGCTGAAGTTAATATAAAATGGGTTTGTCAGGCTAGCTCTATTAGAAGTCTTTGTATAGATATTTTGCTTCTCATGTTGCTGTTTTTGCTTCTTGTTGAACTCCTAGCAATATGTTAAATGAGTGGTGTTGTTAAATACATTCATGTCAAGGATTATGGATGTGAACAGATAATTGCTACTTTGTCAGAGGAGTGACCACATGTAGAAGAATTTGGGAGCACAATTTGTTATAGGTTATATTTCATGGTTTACTAAAATGAACAGAATGAGAAGTTTCATTTTTCCTGAAATTAGAGCATTTTTAATTTGGGATAGAATGATAGCTTTAAGTTTGTAACTTTACTTAAGATTGGACAAACTTTGCCCAGAAGTGTTGAAAATGTTGGTGGTCTGGTGGATTTCTTTTAGCAATAGCCAGGGTGCTTCTGCAACTGGTAAAGGATATATTGTGCACAAAGTATTGGGAATATAAATTAGTGAATGTGACTTATGTTGTCCATCACTTCTGGGGTGTATGAATATATATTATGCCAGTTTGTCAGGATTAAGTTGCAAGCTCTCAATGATGCGTGGGGTTGATTTGGTTTCATTTGCCAGAAAAGATGCTTATATTGAAGGTGGCTGTACTTCCTTTTGGAGCCAATAAGGTACCTACACAACATATTCAAGTTTGGAAATATTCAAGCATTCTTTCTTCCATATTTTATCTGGCAAGTTTCTGGCTGTAACTACTTTTTGCTGGCATGGATGGTGGCTGGTGCAGTCTTCTGCCTTTGTGTTGAAGTGGCATTATGGATGATGCAATTGCATTGTAAGTTGTAACAACTTGTAGGGTTTCCTGTTGAGATAGTCTGGCATTGTGTAACTTTTGTTGATTGGAAAACCACAAGTCCCACAACTTTGGATGGACTGGAATCTGGATACAGATTCAGAAGTATTGTGCGCCATTATTTAGTCGTGCTCTGAAAAACTTGTTTTGTTCCAGTATTTCAGGTCCTCTAAATTGGTAAATTCTATATAGAGATTGGTATCAATTAAAAAGGGAAGCCCAATACCTGGTGTGGTCTGGGGAGGGTAGATGTACACAGCCTTACATTCATTAGCAGAGGTTGTTTCCCAGACTTGAACCTTTGACCTTTAAGTCACAAGATAGCAACCTTACAATTGCGCCAAGGCTCACCCTTAGATTGGTATCAATTAAGTGCTGTTTTATATGAGAAGAGGAGTTCATCAAACTGTTATATTTGCCTGGCAAGATGGTAGTGCTATAGGTATTGCTCTTGCAAACAGTTCACTTAAAGTGCACCAGGAATTTTTTGATCTGAATATAAAGATAGGATGAGATATTAATTAGCTTACAAATCTTCCTAGCCCAGGATTTAAAGGTGATGATATCAGTTTTATACCGTTTCAATCGTGAAAGGATTAACTGTCTGGTAGTGTTGCATCTCATACCATCACAAAAGTTTCTCGTTCTTTATATTGGTTGAGGTGCTGAAATCTCACTGATCAAGGTCCTCCTCATGATATGTAAGATTCACATTTGTTGCAAGATTCACCATGGAATATCTGAAGAGAAGGCCTTGGGCCTGCAGGATGTCTGAAGGGGGATGTTATCTGGTTTATAATATTTTTAATCTTCATAGGGAGGATTAACTGGCTGGTAGTGTTGAATCTCATGTCATTTGCAAACTTTCTTCTTTATATTGGTTGAAGAACTGGAATTTCATCTACTGAGGTCCTCCATTATATGCAAGATTCTTGTACGTTGCTACGTTCACTGTGGAATGTCTGAAGAGAAGGCTCTGGGCCTGCGGTATGTCTGAAGGCCAGCTGTCGATCTGAAGCTCATAGGCAAGTATTCTGATTCTCTTTATCGGTCTGAATGATGTTAAAAAATGTAGAACTTGCTATTGTTACCCTGCTGATTACAATCATGTAAGGTTTAGTATGCTGCTTATGAAACTTAATTGTTGCACACCTGAATTAGGGTTACTGGGTTAGATCATCTTCAGATTTTGTTTAGTGACGTTGTTAACAAGAAATTTTAGCGTAATCATCAGGAATTTAAAGTCTTAATTCATCTTTTAATTGTAGTATAATGTTGGCTGTCAATGCATCCTATTTTAAAATCTTAAGAATTAAGATCTTGTATAGGTTCAAATAATTTGCCGGCCACTTTAGCCATCTGAAATTGCAAGGTGGAAAACCTTTGATATGCAATATTCCTATAGGTCTTGATTGTCATTAGGCTTCTAATAAGAGCAAAGGAAAATTAAGATCTTGATTTGTGTACATGTAACAAATCGGGTCAAGAATCAAATCATCCAATATTGTTGGTTGCTTGTGGATTGCTGGACTACCCTGTTAACTTCTTGGATGCATTATAGCTAATTTGAGTGCTTGCATCTTATAGGTTAAATTCATTCCCAGTGCGTGGTTAAGTATACAGGTTGTAATTGCTACTTTTCTTTATGAGGGATTCATATATATCAGCATTTGGAATTTTGGAGACTACTTTGTTGAAGGGCAGAAGTAAGCTGGGGCTAGCTTATTTAGGTGGTTTTAGGTACTACTACTGATTTGGACATGAATTCTATGACTTGGAATCAGCAGTCTCTCTGGAATAACTTCGACTAAGAGAGAGTTAAGTGGAAAATATGAATATTCAGCTTCCTTAGTGAGATTAAAGGTCTTGGGTTACCTATAATGTTAGGATAACACTTTTTTGTGCAAAATTTTTTGCACCATATAGCAGCTGTAATGTTAATCTGGTTTCCTCCTAGATCTGAAAATACCAGCATTCATTTCTGTTTACCACTTTAGCTAGTACTTAAACAAGTGGCCTCATGAATCTTCTGAGGTTACTGGTACACTTTATCAGGGTGATTGATGCTAGCGGCCTTGTGGCTTACCTATTTAGCACTAAAAATTTTGAGTAAGATTTGTTCATATATATCATATATAGTGATTTTTTCGTTTTGTCTTGATTCTGCTATTCTCATGTTGTTTTTTTGTTCCCACTAAACTTTTCTTACTTTTCTAGTATCTTACCATTTATTTTTACCTAATCTTATATTTATTATGGTTGCAGATGAAAAGCTGGGAACTGTATTCGGGGCTGAGAAGTGAGGAAAAACCCAATATACATCTTTTAACCATATTTGGTTGTGAGATTTTGAGGAACACAGGTTGGTTCTTTATTGTGTCAAAATGCAAAAATCGATTGAAGTTTATTATGGGCTGGAGAACAGTCGGTCGCTGGTGGAGGGGCTGTGATGGATCAAGATAATAAACATATTAGCCTGCCTTTGTTGTGTTGGATCATTATTTTGTGTGATTGGTGGTAAGCATGAATTGGTTCAAACATAGAAATGTTGAGACTTTAGTTTTGCCTGATGGATCATGAGTGCTTGCTTGTGTTTGTGAAAGAAGGGATGCCTATTGTTTAGTGCAGGCCTCAAAATTAGATTGATTTTACAGATACACTCCCTGTTTGTTTGAAGTTGGGTAGGCCAAATGAGGTTTCTTTTTACACTTGTTTTCCCCGTCGTTAGATTTGGCTTTAAAATATGGTCATGATAAATTTTTATTTTTTTTTGCACGCACCATTTAGAATTATGTTTGATGTTGAATTATATGTTTAGAACAGTATCGATGTGAACCAACATCGCGGAGAATTCGGGATGAATTTATCCAATATTACTCAAATAAACGGCAGATGACTCGAGAACATATTTTGTCGATTTTGATCCTCTTTTGCACCCTTTATTTCTCAATTTGCTTATGATCAAAGCTGCTGAACAGCAGTTCAACGTTAATTTCCCGCCTATCTTTAGGCGTCATTTGGTGCAAGGAATGCTTTAATATTTCTAACAAGTAGTGTGAGAATAAGGTTTTTTTTGTTTGGTAGAAGAAAATAAAAATAATTTTTGGAAATAAAGTTTTTTCACCTTTTTAAAAATACAATGAATGATAGTTGAGTGTAAAGTTAATTTTTTTTTATAATAATTAAAAGGAAACATTGTTTTCAAAAACTTGAATACTGATAAATGTATTTTATTAATTTCCCAGAAATTCTATATATTTAAAATAAACACATTAAGTAGAATACGGTGACCTCAATTAAAATCTGTTAAAATTTTGCCGACTTCCTTTCTGTGTTTTTCATAAACAGAATTGCGTAGAAGTATTATTTGCTTCTCCTGAGATGAGGATACTTACTATAATTTTTAAAGCTAGAGGAAGTTAATACTAAGGTGACTCACAATATTCATTCAGTTATATCAACACATATAATGCATCTTTTGCATTACTTTCATAAAATCGACAAATTTATGATTTTTAGGAAGTAGCAAGACGCTTCAAATGAACAAATTAAGCTTCAACAAAAACAAGATTTAAGTGACGTTGTCTCATCAATGATTATTCGCGCAGCGCTTCGATTTCGTTAACAGTAATTGCAAGAACACGATCAAAGAAACGAGGAATTGTCTTTTCCACAACGAATAATGATACAGAAGAGTGAAAACAGTCGAAGAAAGAGGAACAAACACGGACATTATGGATTGAGAGTCACTTTCATAAGCAACTTTATCTTATCAATTATCATGAAATGAGAAACTCATTATTTTGTATAAATTAATAAATGAAAAAAAATTAAATAACTCAAACTAATTTTAACGACTTTACCCAAAATATGAATTGTAAGGATAAAGATGCTCTTGTACTGAAATTAAGGCTAGACAAACAAAATAAAGCGCATGGTCTTTCAGTTGCGTTTTTTTTTTCTCTCTCTCACTATAATATTATTATAATAAAAGTTTTGAATCACAAGTTATCTTTTTTTGTTAGCTTGGACCACAAATTAAGTAGAATTAGCTCAATGGTTTCAAATTTAGATAAGGTTCTGCGTTTTTTAAATATATGAATTAAAAAAATAAAACTCATTTTAGTAATCTTAGTACTTTGAAATAACTAGTCTTGAACTGATAGATATTAGATGCTTTCAATATAAAAGAAACTTTGAGTTTGAATTCCAAACTTGCTTAATAATTTTTTAAAATGGTCATTGCTTTCCAAGAAACTAGTGATGAATAATATTTATATATAAAAAAAAAGATTCTTTAATTTAAATTTATTTTGCTTCCTTAATATTCTCCAATAAATACATGTAAAGAAATTTTACTAAACTAGGATAAATATTCTTTACATTTTCTGTTGCCAACAGCCAATATACAATACAGGGCTCTAATTTTTCAGTCTCTGTAAAAAAATGATAAGCAAAAGAATGGTCAGTCGTGATTGTGTGTTGGTATGTCAATTGTATGATTAAGTGGTAAAGATAGGGGCTAAAAATTTAGATCTTTTCCCTTTCACTGGAGATTTTGTATCAGGAAAATAATTGCCACCATCATTGTGATCCTCCACAGACCCTTCTTGGGTTACTTTCACAGGGTAAGTTACAAGGTGCACCCCTTCCATGTCCACAATTTCTTCACTACTGTAGATTTCCCACATATGGTCTCCTATTGACCTCATTCTCTGCACACATGCCAAACTCTCTGGCTCTAAGAACAATTCCTCAGCACTCCCTGCGTGCTCATACCACAGTGACATTCTGTATGCACAAATATCACCACTGCTTATGTGATGATCAGCTCCATCTTGAGACTGGTAGGCCCCTATGGCAATCTCAGTGTCCCTTTGCCCATCCATAGATCTTTGGTTTACATTGGCTGATCCTATTAATATGTATAGGTCATCCACTAGTGGCAGAAGCAAGAACACAAAATTTTAGTTAGCATAGAATATCAATACAGTTTGTAACACAATTCTACAATTGTACTGTTCAATTACTTTGATGCTAATGCACGAGTTATTGTAACAAATTGAATTGCATAATTCTGTAAATAAAATTATTGTAACAAACCATTCCAAATAAGCCTTTTTAGAAAGTAATGAGGGGAAAAAGCAAGTAATTGAAGTTATAATCATATACCTATCATGAGCTTAGAGTGAACATAAACCATGAACCTCCTATTTTTTTGTGCATTCCAGTATTGTGTTTCAGGATGGGGAGAATGTGGGGGAAGATACTCCTCTTTTCCTTTATTTTCCCTATTTGCAAGGCAGAAGAAATTCAAGTAGTCTCTTGGATGCCCTGGCTGCCCACTTTCCATTATAGCTTCTCCAATCAACTTATACATCATTGTCATTGTTTCTCTGGTCCAATGCAGTATATCTTGAACTGGTTCACTTTCAGGCACTCCTTCTGGCCACATTGGTATGACTATGTACACTGCAAACCTCTCTCTTGCTTTAATCTTACTTACCACCTTGAGTGCAATTTCAACAGGAATCAGATTTCTGCAGCCACTGTGCCTATCATTCTGCCATAAATGGCATCCCCCAATGAAATATTGGTTTTCGATGTACAAAAACCTATCAGCACGCCTAATAGCTTCAACATAAGCATCGTGGATGCTTCTCTCCACACTTAGCTTTCTAAACAACTGGCTAGAAGACACATGATCAATTGACCTGTATACTTGAACTTTCCAATTCCTCTCTTTGAGAGTACCCGAGTATGTGGGAATCAGATTTTGTAAGGTGTTAGCAGGGACTAGAAGAAAAGGATCACATTGCTTTGTCCATCTTTGCTCAAAATTAGTTAACACATCCCAAGCAGCTTCACCAGTAACGCAAGCATGAGCATCATGCCAAGGTTCTCTTGGCCCTCCTTTGTTGAGGCTAGCTCCAGCTATGTTTGTTTGGTAGAAGTCATGGTATTGTGATTCCTTAGTAAGTGTTTGAAACAATGAATGTTGCTCAGTGTCATATCGGCCATCACACAAATCTAGACCACCCAAAAAGCTCATAATTTCTCTGTCATTGACAGAGTTGGGTACTCTAGTATCCACAGTTATGGTTTTCTGATGGTGAGCAAAGAGTGTGGGGAACTTGTGATGTAACCTTGGACACTTTCTGCATATCACTTTTGTGTGTTTGAAGTAAGCAAAAGCATGCTCATCATGGGTGTTCATCACACCTTTGTTCTTAATAAAAGGCAAAGATGTTTCATCATCCCAAATCATAACCCTCACAGCCACTCCTTCTTCTGCCTTTTTCTTCAATAGCTCGCCCAACTTTATTTCCCTGGCATGTGGGATTTCTGTTTGAGGATCTCTAACCTGCATAAAGAGCATATTAACTTCTAAAAAATGTACATCAGTTTAAAATAAAAGTTGAAATGAGACTATATTTACCAGAACCATCTTAGGATTGAAAGACCAGCCTGCAATATAAATTAAATATTTTGCACCCTCAATGGCTTTATAAACATCCTCCCACAGCTTTCTTGGAGCTCCACATAGATCAAAAGGAGGTTGAAAAGCAGATGAATGGTGAGCATCATGATAGAGCTGAACCTGGCAATTAGACCTTTGTGGGAATGTTGCATCCCTCAGCCCTTGAAATTCCCCATTGCTCAGTATCTTTGCCCAACTTGGTTCCAAATATGCTGGCTTGAACCATAATATAAACCTTAATTTTAGTTGTGGGTTTGGTTTTCCATTTTCCATGAGAAGAGGGAAGAATCCATTGATCAAACTCTCTTCCTTCAACTGCTTGGCCTGGATATGGAATTTACCCAATATGGAGCACGATGTTTTCATCATAATGGTGATTGTTGAATCAGATGGATGCGCACACTGAATCTGAAAGGTTTGGTTCCAAACGCGTTCACGTTCTTGGGCTGTTTTTGCCACCTTTTTGTTGTCTATCTTGATGGTCACATAAGCAGGTTTTCCATATTTACCTATACACTGAACAAAGAGAAATTCATGCATATTAACTTTACAGAGTATAGCACAATTTCATAGAATAGCTAATTTAAAATATGCATATATGTGGTAAATAGCATTGTAGATTTATAGTTATGTGGAACCCACATTGAAGGGAAATGAAGGTGAGTAAGGCGTGGCATTGAAAATAGTAGCTTCAACTGTTCCATGAATGAGCTTAGGCTTTTCTTCCACACCCATTACCTTAGGCGCTTGGCTTTCAAATATTCTTCACAAGGAGGAAATGATAGATTGAAAGGTATGAACAATGTTTTGACTTTACGTGTCAAGTTACAACAGTTAACAATGATCATATTTCATATATAAAGGTTGTAAAGGTTGCTATTGTGGATGAAGAAGCAAAGGGAACCTTGGAATGCAATTGAAATGTTCAGAAGCAGATTGGGAAAACTTGTGGAATTATCCAATTCTAGATGTGTATAATCATGGCCAAACGTCACGTCTAACCCAATAACAAGTTTTCGCTTCAATCTCAAGTTTCTTAAAACACTTGGTCTCATCGTATATTCTCAGTACACATACGAGGAATGATCCCAAGATTCTTTTAAATGGTCCTATCTTAAATTAAACACTCACTCCATTGTTATATAAAATTTTACATCAGTAACCCATCTTAAAATTTAACATGTGAAATGGTAAAGAGCTTGATTCCGTTGAATTGAAGCTTTGAGTTTGAATAAAGAAAATTAAATAAATATTAAGATGTTTTTTATTTCCCTCTTATAAATTACTTAGGTCGAATGTAATTTGCAAGTAGTGAAGATCTCGACTAAATAAATCAGCATATAAATTTCACAAAAACATGTTAAAATACTTATAAGAAAATTGTGATTAATATTCTTTGTATCATATAATATCGTGTTCGCGAAAGAAGATGTGGAGGGGCGATAGTAACGAAGGAAGTAGAATGATGATGGCTTATGGTGGATTGAAATGGTTGTGTCTATTGTAGTCCTACAAGGTTCATGGAGGCATTCAAAGATGGAGAAAGATTATTTTGATTCATGGTGGATTGAACATCATTTTTGTTTCGTTAAGCATTGAGCGCAAAAGCTTGAAAGGTGTGATAACGTCACAAACCATTATTGTTAAGTTTCAATCTATCAGAGGGAGGAGTGTAAGTGTTACACATTCCTATCCTAAAGCAACGAAATAGCCACAACACACACAAAAAATCTCAAAATAGATATTATTATTAATGTTTTCAATAGCTATTATGAAAATTTTTTAGTATTCATTCATAAATATTCTGTCTTTTACTAACTTTGAGATTTTTTTTAATATATTTTAAAAAAATTATATTAATTTTTTGACATTTAAATAATGTAGTCGTTGACAAATGTATTTGCTCTACAAGCGCCGTGTGGCAGCGCAGCTTTTTCTCCCTTAAAAAAATCGTTGTATATCAGTTGGACCTTTTACAATCGTTGTTTATATTAAAAAAATCATAAAAAGTCAAAATTCCCTAATAATAACTTTTTAAAAATAATAATAAAATTAAAAAATTGTCAATAATAATTTTAAAAGAATAATAAAAAAACATAATGAACACGTGGGCTTGCTGGCTTGGAGCCGAAACTCTGGCGTCCCTACAACGTTCCATCTCCTCTTATCCCGTCAACTAACCTGTTTCAGTGTCCCATTCTTCAAGCTATCCATTTAATATTTAATTCCCATTTTTTAACTTTTTTTTTATTTTACATTTATATTTATTTCTTATTAAACATGTTGATCGTAAATTAACTTTCAAGAAGTTTATATGTATGACAAAAATTATAGTGTGAACTTGAGTAATCTCTCTCCGTCTTAAAAGTAAAAAATTTCGAATTCAGCTATTGTTGATTGAAAATACACTTAATACACTAAAATAAAAAAACATTTAATTCTTTTGAATTTATCTCTTATAGATAAATACATATCATAAATTTTAATTCCATCTTAATTAATTAAATTTTATCTCATTTATAAACAGATATTTAAAAATTTTATTTTGTTATTACAATTAAATGTATGTTAAAAGTTATTTAATAAGTATTTATTAAATTAAATTATTTATTTAAACACGCTCTTTATCCAGTGCAAGTTAAGACAATTTAATGTCTTGCCTTAAAATAGGATTCTTTTTTCCGTTGAAACAAAATTGGAATATTTTAATTTGCAATTTCTCGGCAAGACACGTTAGTAGAGGAGTTTCTTTCACGAAATTTACAAAGATTTATAACGTTTATTACATTAATTGCAGTTTTTTTCTATTTAATTGCAGCTTTTTAATTATAAAGAAAAGTGACCTTAAAAAAAATGATAAGCAAGGACGTTTTCACGGTGTTACTATATCTTTTTATTGTAATAACATGAAAATTGATATATAAAAATTAAATAAAAATACTATATCTTTTTTTTTATTTTATTTTTAATCCAAACTCTTTCATAAAATAAAATTTATACTTAAAAGAGTTAAATAAAATAAACTTATCATTTCATATTACTTAAACAAATACTAGAAATACATTAAGATAACAAAATTATCATAGTTTATTCTTTTATTTTGAGTCAAAGTAATCTTCAAGATTCACCATGACTGTGTTACTTTTTTCATTTTAAATTGATTGTTGATTAAAGTTTTTCATAAAAATTTAAATAATAAAATAAATTTATTATTATTTAAATTTTTTTATTGATAAGAATTGATTTTATTTTAAAGAAATCAAGCAACTTATCCCTCAACTAATATCTTGAGATTAACATTTAAATCATTAGTAAATAATTTTGTTAAATATAAATAAATATCCTATATTTACCTTTTTTAAAAATTTAAAAGATCATTGTAACAAAAATCTAAATAGAGTGTAGTGTAGGATAAATTAATTATTTTCACACCAACTAAACTGTCATTAAATATTAAAAACCTCTTTGGATATGTAAGAATTTTCACCTAATTAGAAGCAAGTGAAAGAAAGCTACATGAACAACGTTACAAAATGAAGAAAGACAACAACTTAAATGTCCTCACTCGTTTGGAAACTACACATCAATCCCCATAAGATGTAAATTGAAGAGTGAAAAAGAAAAGGAACCTAAAATTTGAAAAATTCCAATTGGCAGATCCTCACAAGACAAGTTCACAGGCAGAAGGACCTTAAAATAATAAAATTGATTAAAAAATAAGAATAAATAAAAATCTCTTCCTATTAATCATTGAGTTTGAGTGAGTCTCAAAAATCATAGTGAAAGCACACGAGTTCGTTACTCTTGCGCAACCATGACTACCTACGGCACAATCCCAACCTCGTCTTCACCCTCAACCAACCTCGAGTTCATCTCACGCGCCAAATTCAAGATCAAGGAGGGGCTTGCAACTCGCCGGCCATGGAAGGTCATGTTCAATTTCCGGTCGTTCGGGTTTCCCGGCGGCTTCTCCGCTACAGTCTCGCGCGTTCGGACGAACATCGCTTACTTCCAGATGAACTACGCGATCGTGGTGCTGATTGTGCTGTTCCTGAGCCTGTTATGGTACCCAATCTCGCTCATCGTGTTCGTGGTTCTCATGGCGGCGTGGCTATTCCTCTATTTCCTCCGTGACGAGCCGTTAGTCATCTTTGGGCGCCTAATCAATGACCGCATCGTGCTCATCGTCATGTCGGTGCTGACGGTGCTGCTGCTGCTGCTCACCGGCGCAACGGTCAACATCCTGGTGGCGCTTCTCATCGGAGTGGTGTTGGTGGTGTTGCACGCCGCTCTGAGGAAGACGGATGATTTGTTCGTGGACGAAGAAGAAGCCACGCGCTTAACTCCTCCTGGTGCTCCTGCTTCTTGATTTTATCAATGTTGTTATTGATTTTGTTATTTGGTGAATTTAGTAAATAATTTTAGATTTGATTCCCTTTAATGTTTTTGGCTGTGAAGAAAGTTGTTGCTACGATGCTTGCTGTTGTTGCTGGGTATCGTGAAATTCGATTCATGCTGTTTGTTAACTGCATTAGAATTTTTATCCACTTTTTTTATTTTTTGTTGTCTATGTTCTTCTTTGGTTCTGACTTTGAACCGAATTGGTAATTGGAATTGGTTTGGAAAGTTGAGTGGAAAGGCAATGAATTGACAAATCTGCCAAAGGGAACAAGGGGTCCCTACTGCAATGGGTTTGGGTCTCTAATTGCGACCTTTGTTTATGCATTAAATGGGACAGTTTCAGGGTTTTTTCTTTGCAAATTATTACTACTTCTACATGGTTCAAGTAACTTTTGCCTGCCACCCAGCAAAGTTTTTGGAGGTAATACATGATTAAAAAACTCAAAAGTATGATTTATTATTTGATTGGGCACACCGAGACCTAAATGAGATATTGTATGATTTTAGTGTTCTTATCAATCTTCAAATATAGCAATCGATCTTAGCAAAAAAAAAAAAAAATAGCAATCGATCACCGCCTATACAAAATTATGAACCATATTACAAATTCAACGAAATAAATTATAATTTTTTAGTCTAGCTCGTGTGCCACGTGGTTTACTACTTCAACCAGTGCTTAACATTTGCGTAAATTACTCTGTTTTAAGTTTACTTACATCATAACTTCAGCAAAAATCATGCTAAAAAACATTATCGAAATAGTTTAACTTCCCCTTCTCTTTATCAAATTGATCTATAATTGCATACAATCCTTGCGTAAGAATAACGTTATTCTTCTAAATAGCCCCGCATCCAGTGGCGAATTTATTTTCTTGGGGCAATAAATAATTATTTAAATAGTTATTAGATCAAAGAGTGGATCCGTTGTAACTGGATCAAGAACAGACTTTATCTTTATTTATGTTGGTGTCGGTAGTTTTGAGGCTTTTAACATAATGCAAAAGACAAGTCTTGATTTGATTCTAAACAGGGCAGCTGGTTTAAACAAAGCAATGTAGATATTTACAAAGCTCCATCATTAAGGACCTATCTCTCTTCATTCTTTTCTTTGTCCGGAGGATAACACGGAGGATAAGAAAGAAAATGCACAGAAAGGATCATCGCAAGACAATTTTCTGAAGAAAGATTCGCTATGATATGATGGTATGGGCAAAGGCCATGATCAATAATTCAGGCTGCCAATCTTGGCCTCAAATCTAAACACCAGCATTTATAGTCTGATCTTGACAGTGCGTATAGCTCATCTGGCGTGAGGTTGTCAAGCTCCTTGGATCTCCAGCTATCAGTCATGCCAACAATGTTGTTATTCGGAGTCAAAGTTCCATGGCCTTCCTCTGGATGATTTTGCGCTCGTATTCTCTTAAACAGTCTCATGACAGAAATACAATCTTCATATGGGTCATGAGTGCCGGATTGTATGTCATAACTGTAAAGCCAAAGCACAATTATACTGGAGGCGGGATAAAACATTGTGGGATCTGCAATTAATATAGTTGCTCCTGGTAATACTACAGAGGAGTAACTGCCAATTCAAAACCTAAACAGATACGTATTATACAGTCTTTGCGGAAATATTTGCTGCTTTAGCCCACAACTTGATGTGTTCCAGAAATGTGGAAAACTAGAGTTATTATGTTTCGCACTCCGAGTACTTAAAATAATGTTTTCCAACAATTTTATTTTATTATAAAAAGAACTTTCAAAGAATCAATCATCAGCCTGGGCCAACTGAATAGATGGTCAACCTACGCACAAACGGAAAAGATAGTGTACCGATTTGATTTTAAAAACAGAAAGGAAAACTAAAATTTGGAATAAGCAATTTTAGAATGAAATAAGCTTGAGTGAAAAAATTAACTTGCCCTAGATATGTTCGGGTAAGATACTTGAGTGAATGACTGACCAAGTTTGTTTTCATCAATGGACGGTACTTTGCAGTGTCTCTGCAATGCAAAATATAAGCATGGGCAAAAGGTGAGTTCTAATAAATACATTGATCAGCTCTCAAATTCAAAACTTTCCATACGAAGAGACAATTTAATCAACCACACACAATTCAATATAAGAAACAAAGTAACTGGGGTAGTATGTATCACTAAGTCTGGAAACTTATCTGTGACAGCAAAAAATCTGATCACATAGAAAATATATTGTTCAAAAGTTTACTCTTAGAAACACCTTGCACATGATAAAAGGAGTGGGGGAGGGAGGGCCAGAAGATATTCAGGGATTTCGAACAATTGTTTTATTCAACAGAGAACAGGTCCTTAAAGGGCTGAAAAAGAGTACAAGTATAAGATATGGGAGTTAAAAATGATTTAGCATAACTATATTACTCAAGAAACATCTACCTCAGCATATGATCGGGATAACTCATTTTCAAGCAATCTAAATCATGTGCTAAGTCATGCCCCACAAGAAGCCTGGCCTTCCCACCGTCCAGTCTAACTTTGCCAATGGACTCTCCATTGTATAGAATTTGCAATACCTTTTCTCGAACTTCCTTGAGTGGCATGGCATCTCTGAGATGCACTTCAGTCAATCCTGTTATATCATATCTGAAAATGTAACGCAGAGTCAACCCGAACACTCTTTTTACCTATCCACTTGTCTCTTTGACACTAAAGGACAATAACCATACAAGTTCAAAATACCTATAATTAGTAACAGGGATTTGAGGCTGTACATAAGTATGGAAAATTAAGTTCTCATCTTCATCAACCAAGCAAACTCTAGCACAAAGTTCCAGTGATCCATCACTTCCACCACCAACCATTTCACAGTCCATTGCAACTGCTCCAGGGCGCCCGCCACCGCGGTTTTCATCAGAAGAATCTTGACAATCAATTTGGGAACCTGTATAGGGCAAATCATTTGTTCCCTGCAACAGTTTCACACACAGTATAAACTTCCTAACAAGAGCATAAAAGAATAGACAACAAACATGGATTGTAAGTAGGTTTCTTAAGTTGGTTAGGGCAAATGGTACACAAAAGACATTTTATTTCATATAAATACTTTAGGTTGTCAATAACCAACTTACTAGACGGGTGGGGGCAGATAGGCGACATATTTCTCTGTGGTCAAGGAGAGATGTGGGACTATCAAATAGTGTCAAACAAAGTTGACAACCCTGTTGAGAAAAAATCTTCGAGCAAAGACCTTTTGGCAAAGGACCTATAACATTCAGAAAGGAAAAAAACAAGACAAGATAAATAATGAGCCAAAACACGAAAGCAATAGTGTTGAATGCACAATCATGACTTACCGGTAAGATGCTCCCTCAGAGACTCAAAAGATTTGCAGTGCTTTTGACAGACCCCACATCTAGGCTGATGGACAGAGTGGTACGAGGTTTTCATGTGCTCAATAAGATGTTCTTTCTTCTTATATTGTTTATAGCATGCCGAGCATTTGTGTCTATAGGAGGGAATCAGCTATATTTTAAACAAGCTATGCAAAGAAACAATTACACTACTACACAAGAGAGTAAAAGAAAAAAAAAACAGGAACTAAAATGAGTGCACTGATTTCAATATATTTAATTCTAGCCGGAAGCATGGAAGATTCCATCATTTTAAATATATAGCATATACTCATCAGTCACTATATATAGCAAATTTATGCAATTATATAAAGCAGATACCCATTAGCACACACAAACTGACAGAAAATTAACTGGAATATTCTTGTAGATGAGAAGGAAGGGTTTGACTCTTCTAAAGTGCAGAAATACACTTAAGAAGATACAATGCACTATTAAACGTTAATTTTAAAAAATAATGATTGAAATTTTAACATCTTCCTAGTTTATATTACATGTAGATGTATTTAATGACAAAAATTTTACTTTCCAATCAATTGTTACCTCTAAAGCAGAGATGGTGATAATCATGGAAAATGAAAAAAAAAATTGAAAAAGGGAGAGAGTTGAGGAGCAGAAGAATGAACCTTTTAGTTGGGTTTAGAGGAGGGTTAGCTTCGGCATCCATCTAGAAGCTCGCTCAGTATCGCATGGATTCGATACGATTGATTGACAACAATTTCGCGTTTTACCCAAAGGAGTCAATGGAAAAATCCCCAACGATTTTTCGTATCGTATCGACGGGTACACTATATTATCGGTCGAAACAAAGAAACTGCAAACCCTATGCCATTGAGGAAGAACACGCAATTTCTGCTTGAAGTCAAAACCCACGTTGCAGTAGAGTAGAGGTTAAATATTCCTGCTAATTTTGTTCTAAGCATACTATATAATGGATTGTAAAAACAAAAAAGACATACATTTTTTACTAAAAATAATATTAATGATATTTTCAATAAAAATTAATATTTATTCCTTAATCGATTTTTTAAAATATTGATTAGTATTTATCTTATTTAAATATTGTTTAAAAATATACACTTATGTTAAAAGTATTTTTTATATTTATTACACAAAGTTTAAATTATATGTGTAAATTTATTAATATTAATAATAGAAATAGTGAAAACTTTAATTTATAAAACATATCAAAATAATCGTATTAAAATTATATACATATTTAATCACAAAAAATAGGGGTTTATTCCCAGAGCTAAAATCTAATTCAACAATGGAAACAACTTCACAACAAAATTAATTTGGTGACCATGTTATGGGCAGGTTTTAAGAATTGGTATATTGTACTAAGAGATATTTCGAGGTTAATATTTTTTTAAGTGTATAGAAAAAAAAATCATTTGATTTTAATCTTCATATTTTATACACTCTCTCCCTCGAGTGTTTAATTCTTTGTCAAGAAAACAGCTTATAAGATTCCATCTTCCTAAACGATTCGTATATTTGAAACTAAAAATTAAATTTAAGTCGTTAAATATGAAAAAAATATGATCATAAATTAATATCACATATTTTATTTAGAATATATATTCTTATAAAAAAGTTTGTGAGAATTAATTTATTTTATTTTATTTTGAAACGAATAGGACCTAAATAAGATTTTGGTCTAAAGTAGGAATGAAGGTTAGGAAAGAGACTAACGTGTGTGTAGATTTGAAGCAGTGATAGTGAGAATAGAGAGAGAATTGGAGAAGAAGAAGAGAATGTTCAGAAACCAGTACGACACGGACGTGACGACATGGAGTCCGGCGGGGAGGTTGTTCCAGGTAGAGTACGCAATGGAGGCAGTGAAACAGGGTTCCGCCGCAATTGGCCTCCGATCCAAAACGCACGTCGTATTGGCCTGCGTCAACAAGGCTAACTCAGATCTCACCTCCCACCAGAAGAAGATCTTCAAGGTCGACAACCACATCGGCCTCGCCATCGCCGGACTCACCGCCGACGGCCGCGTCCTATCCCGCTACATGCGCTCCGAATGCATCAACTACTCCTACACCTACGAGTCACCCCTCCCCGTCGGTCGACTCGTCGTTCAGCTCGCCGACAAAGCACAGGTCACTATTCATTCACTTCCGTCCTCCTATTACTGGCTAGTGCTTAGGGTTTCTGAGCAGATTGGCACAATTTTAAGGCACAAATAATTAATTTAAAGCAATGATATTACAATACAAGCAAACAAGGATGTGTCCTGACTTGTGTGGCTAAAATAGAATACATACTTGCACATTCAAGGGGGCTTTCCGGCTTATTGAAAATTATGAAACAAGATTACATTTAGCTCCAGATCCTGTAGATGAATCTGTCGATACTCATTATGTATAGAAGTGGTAAAAGGGATTTTATATGTCTGGAATCTCTTGATCAAGGTGTCACGTTCCTTGAAAATTGCTCAAAGTGAGGGTTGATATACAAAATTCCATCCATGGAGGAGTAATTGCGTATCTATTATGAAAATTAAGCCTCATAAAAATATAGTGGCTTCTGAATACAAACTCCGTGAAAAATGAAATTGATGTTAACCTAGCATTGACTTTGTTAGAGCTTTGTAGGGTTATCTTCAAATTAGATGGTTCATTTCTAATCCAACCAGCTAGCTTTATGTAATTGTGTGACCCAGAAATTGGGAATGTTGTACCCCCTGGAAGTTGTTGTGTAGCAGTAAACAGGGGGGCCACCTAGTGCACAAGGCTTTCACCAATTGGGGTCGAGGGAGGGTAGGTATAAGCAGCCTTAACCCTGCCAATAAAAATTATGAAAGTTCTAATTTCATTATTAACATTTTAACTTTGAAAATTTGCTCCTTCCCATGCATGTTTTATTTATGGAGCTGACAGTTCTTGAAGTTGATGGACTGAGAGTATGCTAAACAACTCACTTACATGAACCCTGCTCCCCTCTTTCTATTTTGTTTCGGAATGGAATTACCTTGTGCAAAACTGATATGTCAAATTTAAGATGAACGAAATCACCACGGTAACTAAACATGCATTTTTTTATGGTATAGAATCATGCTTGTGTTTTAGTTATCGAAAGTTGGATCGGTAGGGTATGGTAGGCAAATCTTGTGTTTGTATGTGCAGAATTACATAATAAAGAAAAAAAGTGTTTGTAAAATTTATTAAAACTTAAAATATCTCTTTCTCATCCATATTTGTGATGTAATTTTGAATGGCAGGTTTGCACCCAGCGATCATGGAAACGTCCTTATGGGGTTGGTCTTTTGGTAGCTGGACTAGATGAATCTGGAGCTCACCTCTATTACAACTGTCCAAGTGGAAACTATTTTGAATATCAAGCTTTTGCAATTGGCTCTCGCTCACAAGCTGCAAAGACATATTTAGAACGCAAGTTTGAGAACTTCACAAGCTCTTCACGAGAAGATTTGATCAAAGATGCACTTATTGCAACTAGGGAGTCCTTGCAAGGTGAAAAACTCAGCAGTTCTGTATGCACTGTTGCTGTGGTTGGAGTTGATGAGTCATTTCACATTTTAGATCAGAAAACTGTTCAACAATTGATTGATACTTTTGAGATTGTAAGGGAGGAAGAAGGACCTCTAGCTGAATCTCAGCCAGCAACTGAGCAGGGTGCTACCATAGATCAAAGTGGTGCTGAAAACCAAGGTGGTTCACCAATGGACATTTGATAATTTAAGATCCAGAACTATGGGGTTTTTAAATTAGATTTTTAAAGATGAGTAGGTTTCACGTTGAGCGGGTCATGGGAGAAGATATCTCCTGGATGGATTTTCTTTACTCATCATTATAAATGATTTAGTGGCTGCAATTGATGAACATGAACGCACAATTTACAATACTTATCATTTTTCATGAAAAACACTTTTGAAATGGATCTTTGCTTGAACACTTAACTTATTTGAAAGATTTGAGAAAAAGAACTCTTGAACTTTCGTTTTGTTAGAAAGGGGAGAGGGAAGAGGGAGGGGAGGAGGTTGGTTGTCAAAATCTATCTCTGTTTATGTTATGTTTCTTATGTTTGGAGGAGGGAAAGGTATGAAGAAATTTAGGTCTCACTCACCTTCAAAAGCTAACTCATAGGAAGGGGACTACTATAGTCCTTATAATGAGTATTTTAGCTCTATTCTTAAGCAATGTAAGACATCTTAACAAGGTTTCATAATTAGTTAGCAATGTTAACTTAATTATGGAATTTTTTTCTCTCTCTCTTTACTTTTATTAATATTTTTACTATTAAAATGATATATTATCTTCATCTCCCTCTTTACAAACTAAACTAAAAGATTTTTTCCTTTTTTTTCTCTGAAACTAAATCATAGGGCTTTTCTCCTTTACTTTTTCTTCCGTTAAAATTTATTTGCTCTAACTCTACCAAACCAATCAATGCGTAAAGGTAAATAAATTTAAGCTAAGAAAGTCAGCTTGATTTCTTACTTAAATCCAAGTCGTGTCATAATAGAAGTTTAGTAGAGATAATATCCAGGTAAAATTAGTGCAGATGAAAATAAAGGGAAACAGAAACACAAGCATAAAAACTAAATGAGTTTTAACCTCATTGATACCAGAAACAAAAATGACAAGACATAACTGATACCAGATGGTTTCCACATACTAGAGGAACAGATACGTCTGGATTCTGCAAGACTTCTTGTACTGATGTTTTATTACAACTTACAATTAAGATCCATGGACCATAACCAAACGGGTTGCCCGAGGATAACGTTTATAATCCTTGGTCATAAGATGCCAAAACATAACCGAGAAACAAACATTTGACATCCCTCTTGACCACGTTCAAGCTCTCAGCCTTGTCATTATCAGCCAACCAAGATTTTTTGTTTTACATGCTTCAAAATTTGACACCACTTTTTTCACTTACACTTCATCAATGTTTAAAGCTAACTTTATTTCCACGCTGTCATTGTCAATTTGCTAGCTTAAAAATCTAGCATGACAACACATGCACTCAAAAGAGAGAAATAGAGAGACTTGATTGAACCACCTTACAAAAAGTATTTTTGATCCATTTGAAGAGCACGGAATGCTCACTAGTCTGATTAAGGCCATTTAGACACAAGTTTACATAATTTTCCGAAAGAATTTCAAAAGCTTCTATACATTACTTAACCTACTTTCACTCCACTATACAGATGCAAAAATTAGATCACATTGCAGAGAAACAGAAAGGAAAGTACAAAATACAAAGGCAAGAAACATATTTAGCATTACAAGAATGCAGTTTCCAACGTGAAGCGCTTTAAATGTCATCTTCACATGATGTCCGCTTAGTGTTGTCCATTTCCCATTAGGCAGGCCTGCACTTCAGAGAGCTTCCCACTGAACACTTGCAATGTGGGACCACTGCCTTTACTACGTTTCTGGCCAAAGCCATAATCAACCACTCCCATTTCCTGCATCATAAGTGGGTGTTGACATGTAATTTGTGTCCATCACTGTGTCACCCTCCAGAATTCGCAGAACCTTCAATACAAGTGCCATCAAGGTTAACAAAATGGTGTCATGGCAAGTATAGCCTAATACTGTTCAAATCAAGATGAAAGAAATATGGAAATGTAACTCTCTAGTGACCAAAAAAATCTGTTGAAAATTGTTCCTTACCTGTGACATGCGCGGTCTAGAATAAGGATCACGCCTTATGCATAATGAGGCAGCATGCAGCATGCAATAGACCTCATGTTCCGAATAGTGAGTTCCCAGCCTTGGATCGATGAGTTCCTCAATGGCATATTCTTCTAACAGTGGCCGTGCCTGTTTAAAATCCAAATGCTCAAACAATTAATTAAGGGCAAGGCTAGGCCTGAAAAATGAAAGAAACTTATTGTTCTTGGTTTATCTATTGTTTCGCATCAGACAATTATTTAAACTCTTGAAATTATGAGAATTTCACTCAACTAAAGAGCATAATAAGTTTGATATTACTGTCATTTAACTTACCCATTCAGTAAGACACTGTTGTCCCTTTGGCCGATTGAGATCCACAGCTTTTCGTCCTGTAACCAGTTCCACTAATACCACACCAAAGGAATAAACATCGGCCTTTTCGGTTATTTGGCCACTTTGAGCATATTCCGGAGCCAAATACCTACAGTCACCAACATAGCTTAGTTGCATGGTTGATATATTGAACATTAATTAGACAATAACAACAACAACAACAACCAAGCTTTATTTCGCTGTAACTAATTAAGGATTAATAAATCGCATACCCAAATGTTCCAATTACTCTAGTTTCCACTCCTGTGTCTCCATCAGGCTGCCACCTTGCCAGTCCAAAATCACCAACCTTGCATAATTAAACACAAATATTTAATGAACTGAAAACATGTTGAAAGAAAAATAAACACAATCCTACCAGTGGTTCAAAATCATGAGTGATAAGAATGTTGTTTGGCCGCATGTCGCGGTGGATGATGCAACCCACTCTGCACTCTTCATGAAGATATCGCAATCCCCGAGCAGCTCCAACAGCAATTTTTTGCCGTGCAGACCATTCTAATGGTTCTCTCTGTCTCCCTGAAAGATTGCCAGGTAATATGTCAGGTTACAAATTAAAAAGAAGCCAGTATCAGTAAAATGTATCCTAGATTCCATTTAATCATTCATTGTATTTAACATGAAAATATTTTAACATGAAAATATCATGATATTACATATTCAAATTACATATGTAACCAAGTTTTATCTAACAGTCTAGGGGCACGGATCTCATTAGCTTTACAAAAATGAATTTGCTAAATCCAATCAATTTACCAAATATTTGATGACACAGCATTTTAAGTAACATAAGACCTTAGCCTTTCAAAAACATGACTCTCTCACAACAAAATTTGATCTGAAAGCAAAAGAAATTACCATATAAATGAGAATCCAGCGATCCATTACATATGTACTCATAAACCAATAGCCTTCTCTTGTCCTCTATACAGAACCCAATCAACATAACAACATTTCGGTGCTGGGCACAGCTCAAGACTTCTACCTCTGAGCAAAATTCTACATCACCCTGAGAACTAGCTAATTTATGTTGCTTGACAGCAATGACTTGTCCATCTGGAAGAACCCCTCTGTGAACAGATCCAAATCCTCCTTCTGCCAAGAAATTGGCCTGTGAAAATCCACCAGTGGCAAGCTCCAACTCAGCATAGCTGAACCATCTGGGAGGTTTCCCAAAAACAGGGGCCTTGTGTTGACAGATTGAACATAATGGAGGTGGACCAAGTGGATTATTTCTAGATAATGATATTGCTTCTCTTACATTTCCACTGAAATCCAAGTCAGTCTTATAAGTTGCGCTTTCAATTTCAGCTTCTCTGTCCAGTCTTGAGAACTTCTCTAGTAAAGCTCTAGTTGTAGATGATTGAAGCCTGTTATGAGATCTCTCCAATCTTTCTTCTGTAGGTTCAGATGATCGTTGATGCAAAAGTAAATCCGTGATCCATGGCTGAAATCTCAAGCTTGCTGAAGATGTGGACAAATTTTCACTGTCCGTGTCTGAAATATTATCATCAAGTTCTTGATGTTCTTTGATAGTTTCCTCTTTCTTTGACTCAGCATTCATCTCAGAGATAAAAAATGGTGAAGTTCCTGGATCGGAGCTTGAAACTGATGAAGTACCAGCTTCAGTAGCAGTAAACGGTGTACCAAGCTCAGGGCTGCTAGTTGGAGTGACAACTGGTCCTTTTATGGGATTTAAAGAATCGTTCTTCTTTTTAGTTTGTTTTCCAGGCACATCATCTTTCTCAGAAGTTAAGGGACATGCTTCTTCCAGATCTTTCTTTTGTGATCCAACCAAATTCAAGCGGAGTACCTTAGGTTGGGAACGCTTCATAACCACAATGTTGCACTGCAGCTCTTCCATGCATTGTTTTTCCTCATGTTTGAGCTGTCTGAAAAGAAAGTAACACCAAAACACCAGCAGCAAACACAGTATTATAATCTCAGACCAATAAAATAGTAAAATAGAAACTGCGAGTAAATCAACTTTATTTTGTATCACAATAGCATGCCTTAATGTGGGGCAAAAAAGAAGATAGAATATTACTTGTCTAATACAACCCAATTGGCTTGGGCTTTCTTAGCTTCTGCAGCCACTGCTCCACAGGGTGATCCAGAAACAATTTTAATCCTCACATTTATCTGCTGAACAACAGTTAGCATATGGATACAAACATAACATTCAGTATGAGCATTTCATACATCAAGGCTACTAACCTTATTAGGATCATAGACATCATGGAGCTGAAGGATCATTTGAGAGCATGAATCAGTAATATCACTTTTCTGTTCTGAACTTGTTCCTGGAGTAGACTTCTTTTGACCACTGGCACAGTCACCAGCAAACCGTGGAAAACCCCATAATCTTCGGCCTACATATGAGCAGAATAATGATAAGGTACACAAAATAAAGGAAGAGTGAAGGTTCAAATGCCCAATCAAAAACAATAACAAAGTGAAGTTTGTGCACTAGGTATAGCAATAATAGAAAACTACACTCTTCCAGAATAAGGAAAGCAAAAACTAACCAACACCAGTGTTATTACATACCTGCAATTTATTTGTCAGGGATTACAAAATAAAACAATCTCAATGATAAAAGGAAAGACACGTGGGATAAGATCCAACAGCTTAGTACTGATACAAACAAAGGCAACCCCCAGAAATAGAGAAATGGAATCTAAATAAGAAATACCTGAACTCTGTGAAGGTACAACCACTAGCAATGTAATGCAATCCCCAGGTTGCACAACATGAGTTAGGGACCAAACAAGAGCAGTCTTTGGAATTTCCTTTGATGCCTTAACGGCAACAATAACCTTCTCAGCACCATCCGAACCCTTTTCTTGCTTCCCTCGCTTCTGTTGTTCTCGACTCATCAGAACCAACAATTCCACAGAAACTGCCTTGTTCAACAGATATCACTCAGAAACAATCAAAGCCACATGTTCCTATATGCTAAACAACATGGGGCAGAAACGCAAGATCACGATCAAGTTTTCTCTCACTACTTTCCTATATAATCAACATGCAACATTTCACCAAGCAATCACTGACACGACCCATTTAACCAAAATTCAAATCTTCAGTGCTACAGAACAACAAGGTTCATCAAACTGTGCCTTTCAGTCACCAACAAGATGGATTCAGCAAGTACGTTCCCAAAATAGTATCAAATCCGTGAAGAATCAGATACCCTTTTGGCTCAGAAAGCAAGGTGTTCCATCCCCCAACCAAACTTACAAAGTAATGAGCATCTCAAGTAGCTGAAACTCAACAAGACTACAAGCACTGCATATAAAGGCCTGTGACACAATCCATTACAAGAGAACAGTTACAGACACTAGCTGAGTTCTTGAGTCTTCAAATCATTCCCCAAGTCAAAATATTTGTCTCCAACCAGTTGGCTTCACTTTTGATGAGACTTTAGAGGAACCCTTTTCCAAAGATTCCACCACAGAAATAGTAATATGTCCTTCACATTTCAACTTCAAAGTTTCCAATCACTAATGATATGACTAAAGCTAGTCGTTTGGCTCTCCGGGTCCTTGAAAGTTCAGTGTCAATTTTTACCTGCACAGTCCCCAAATCAAAAGGTTGGAAAATAGTAATAATAATATTAATAATGTAAAGTGTAATAACTAATCACTAGCAACCACCCTATTGTTGCTTTAGAATAACAAAAACATCCTTGATGACTACAAAACAAGAAGAAAAAAGATGCCCCGACTGAGATCCAAACCTTTCTTTTTCTCTGTTATTATATATTTTATCAATCATCCACGAAACTTCAACATCCAGCGAAAAAATAAATAAATAAAACAAGAAGAACAAATAATAACACACACTTTTTCTGATAATAATAATAATAATAATAATAATAATAATAATATCATCACCATAGGAGTCTGAAAATTTTCAACCGCCGAAGTTAACCTCAATTCCTCAACAAGAAAATATTAAAAAATAAATAAAACAACCAACGGCTAAACCTAACCGAATATAACGACATAATAACATGGAAGCATTGCAATGTAACCAGAGGCATGAAAAGGAAAACGGGTTGAGACCTTTTGTGATGGTTGAAAAGGGTAGCAAAAGGTGAAAGCTTTGAGAAAAACGTGTGTGGCTTACTCTGTTGGTTGCATTTGGGTAGAAGAAGGAGAAGGAGAGGAAGATGGCACAGAATGAAAGGAGAGAGAGTGGACCACTGTGACTGTGGTGTGTGGAGAGAGTGCAAAAATGGTTTGGCCGAAGGGAAGAGGTCAGCTTTGTTGTTACTACTTATTTTCGTGACCAATGGAGACAGAGACATAGCGATGAGAAAATAGAATGATATTAAATAAATAAATATATAAATAATTGCAAATTTATTTATTTATTTATTTAATCTGAAGAAGAGTAATGGTGTAGCTTGCAATTTGGTGTACAAGACAGCAGAAGAAGGTGAAATGCACACACATGACATGACATGGACATGCTGAGAGAGATTTTGTTCAGAGCTACCCTGTAAATCGCCGTCTACACCTCTTTTTATTATTATTATTTTCGAATTTGGATATACCCCTTTTGTCATCTATCACCCTTCTTTTATTTCATTCTACTTTTTAAATCATCCCTTCTTCATCTCCTTTTTAAGTTCTCGAATTTTAAATTTTATTCTCTCAATTAATTCATGTGTTGAATGATATAAACAATTTTTTAAAAATTATTTTTTTTATTTTTGAAGCGGATTTTGTTTCTTCAACAATGTTTTTTTTTATATATATACACAACTAATAATCAAACTCTTATCAACATGTTTATATACAAAATTATCTATTAATTGTGTCAAAATTTATTGATAATTTACTATAAAATAGTTTATTATAGATATCTTTTATAACGATAAAAACATGATGGTTTATTTTTTTTTCGTTCGAAACTTTCATTTGTTGTTAAATGAATCTTTCATAGTTCGTAAGATTGGCACAGTGGTGTCAGTCTTGTGTTTAAATCGCTTTCCCAAATTTCTTTTATTACTCTAGTCTTCAGAAAAGATAACATTTTACATATTTGAAAACATATACTCATTTTTTGAAGAATCAAAGCAATGCAGTATGTAACCTTAGATTATTAAATCTTCCAGATTAAAAAAGAAGAAAGAAAACGAGAATAGTCCACTATTTCTCATTTACTTTTTCGCATTTAGATAATATGAATTGTAAATGTTTTATGTTAAACAAATGTTTATACTGAATTTTAAGGTTGTAAAACTATCAACGTAACATAAGATGTTTTTTTGGGATATAATCAAACATGTTTTTTAAGGAGAAAAACAATTTTAACTATAAATGATCAAACATTAGTTTCCACCCAAAATCACGTTTGCAAACCTCCCTCAAAATCCAGTTTAAGGGTTATCACCACCTTTCAGAAGATGCTATTAAATTAATTAACGATTTTGAATTTAATCATGCAGTAGAAAAAATTATTAATAAAATATTATAAACTTAACAATAAAAACAATAATATTTATATGCATTTTCAGTTCTCCCCTTCATTATCTAACCCGTGACTCATTTGCACGTACGTCAAACTGATAATAACAATGCACCATCATTTGCTCCTTCAATACCGTAACAGCTTAGAATTAGGGTCACGAGGGACTTGACCTTTCAAACTAATTATGTCCCTATTATAATGTACCACTACTTAGTAGTAGTACATTGAAACATGTACCTATTAATTTTTATATTATTTTGCAAATACATGATAAAAAATGAACAATATTACATAATTTTTAATCGTTAAAGAACGGTATTATTATAAAAAATGAAAGATAGTAGCATAAATTGTGAAAGCATTGTTTAAAATATAATCTCAAATCCCCCAACGATAAACAAACTTTGTGTCATAAACAATAAATGAGACTGCGGTGAAACTTTAATAAAACGCACCGTCACGTCAACTTAGCATTCAACGCTTGCTGCTCTCTCTTCCAACCCCAAAACGACGAGCACAGTGTTTGTGGTACCAGTGGGAGCCACTTGCCGTTACCCATCGCCGTCCACCGCTGTCAGCCTCGGATCGTTTCCCGATGACATATTAACGTTTTCCGTCTATTCCTCGTTTCCCTTTCTTTGGGTAGACCAAAAAGAAGGAACAAGTCCATAACAAAAATATATTGCAAGAAAAAAGAAGGGAGAGGAAAAAAATATACTCGAAATTTTTATTTTTTCCATGAAAAGAAAATAGACAGGTTTTTTTAAAATGAAAATTTTAATTTTATATATATATATTGTTATATTATAAAGATATAAAAGTCCTTTATTATAAATATATTATTTCTTAATTTTAAATAAAAGGCAATTATCATTTTATCTAAATAGAAAAATATCAATGAGCTTTTTCTTTATCCTCGTTTTCTCTCTGCTGCCCACTAAAACAATAATTATCTACTACCTCTGGAAAAAGTTTCTTCATTTTTCAGACATATTTGTCTGTTTGGCATGTCAGCCATTAGAAAATGGAATTAATGTTTTTATATTGCTATAATGAATTATTAAATATATATATATATATATATACGACAATTCCTTGCTTTCCTATATTTTTTTACATATATTTGGTGAGTGGTATTTAAACTTGTACCCATTAATTTGTAGGTTAATTTGCTTACGTCCTTCTTTATATTCACAAATCATGCATGTAACGTGATTTGTTAACTAACAATGTATGTTACGATCGATATCAACGGTCAAATTAAGGTGCACCTCCCTCATCAATGTTTTTTTTGTGAGTCACTTTAATGCGAGCCTATGATTATATGAGCCATCGATGAAGGAATTTTAAAAGGTTTTAGAATCTGCAAAATAATCCCTTATAAAATTAAAATTATGAATAAGCCCTTTAAAAAAATAGTTGTCCTTATGTCTAATTTCTCCATCATCCTGATCACCATTATCTCTACATTAATCACCTACTATTGCATACTTAGTGCATATATAATTTATAAATATATATTTACTGTTAAAGAATATTATATAAATATTTATAGAGATCTTTTCACAAAAGAGAGAAAGAAAAAAAGTTATTAAATATATTGTTTGAACATTCATGAATCTTAGTTTTAGATATTAAAATTCTTCAAATTAACAAAAAAATGATCAAAGAGAGAGCAGATATGACACTGCACAAATCTCATGGGAATAAAAGATTTAGTGGGAAATAATTAAGCTCCGTATTATTAAATTAAAAGAATATATAAATAAGAAATATAAAGTATTAGGAATTTTTTATTATCAGAGAGTTGCATTAATACAGAGAAAAGGGTTTGACGTGCACGTTGAAAATGTCTGCACGATCTTAGCTGAGTTGTTTCACACATAGACGTGACCACTCAAAACTCAAAAGACACACATGGTGGCCTCAGTTTTGCGAGGAAAATGTTTCTACAATACAAAATTAAGAAAACAAAATATTATTTGTCTTATTACAATGTTTTTAAGGTATTAATTAATTAAAATATGCATTAAAAATATATAAATTATTATAATTAATATAATTTTTATTTACTATTTCTTTCTTATTATTCATTAATTAGTAGTTTTAGATATCCATTAATGTTTATTTGATTTTATGATATATTTTTAATATATTTCTGGGTGATAGAATAGTTTGAGTTTGAGAAGCTAAAAAAAATTAAAGTAAGAATTATGAGACAATGTAATTATTTTAAATATTTAATAGATTAAAGTTATAATTTTCAATAAATATACTTAGAACTCTCATTCAAAAGATTTAAAATATATAAATACAATGTATTTTTAAATTAAATATCTTTGATTTTTTTATTAAATATTTTTCATTTAATTTTGTTTTAAATATATTTAAAGCATTTATCAGCACAATTATTTTATAATTAAATTTGTAAAAAATTAATAATACATTCTTTATTATTAATTAAAGTTTATTAAAATTAAAAAATATAAAGAATAAAAATTAATTTAAAAATAAAAAAGAACAAAATCCACATATTTTAAATAATTTTAAAAAAATATTAAATAATATATTACTAATATTTACCAAAATACACAAATGATCATTAAGAATTGGTGGTTGTGAGAAAATTTAGAAATAGTGAATTATTTAATGTGGATGTTTAGTGTGTGGGGGCAAGTGGGGATTTTGGATGCTTAAAGGTCATTTAATGCTCCCACTTGGCCCTTACTTACCCTCAAAGATATCCAATTAATAGTGTGTATGCCCTGCCACGGGAACAACCTGGGAACTCGTTCTCCTTTTCCTGTTCTTCCATTAATTTCTGACCACCCCTTCTCTTCCTTCTTTCAAATTCTCACCTTCAAACTTCTAATTTGGTTTCTTTTCTAGTTGGGTCGATATCATAGAACCTCCTTGGTTTAAGAATTAAGAAAAATCTTTTGTTTAGATAATTATTAAACGTGATTTTGTTTTTATTTTCTAAAGTTTGTAAAAAAAAATGATAAAAATGTTTTTTTATTTATTTTCATCATTTCTTCTTTGCCTTTCTAAAAAAAAATAAGAAGATATTCTTTGTAATTAATTTTAAAAATGAAAAACAAAATAACCGTAAATCAAATATATATTCAATAGGAAATCTTTTACAAAGTGATAAAATACGTACGGTTTATATCTTTACAAATATATCCATATTTAATTATTCACAAGTAGGTAGGATTATTGTTTACTATGATGGATATATATAAAAAAAATTGTTAATTTCAACTTTAAGGTTGAGTTTAAGTATCTACAAATAGAAAATTTTTATAAAAATATATATATAATTTTTGCATTGAAATTATAAAAATATAATAAATACTTTTTTTCTTATAAAATTTTACTATATTAGCTATTTATCTTTAATTTTAAAAACTGAGTTTAACAAAATTTTTAAAAAAATAAACATACTTTTAATTTGCATAAAATATAAAAAAAGTTATTTTTGTCTATATTTTTTAAATGCACAATAAAAAATATTTGATATATTAAAAACATAAAAAGTATATGTGATATTTTCTAATTAATAATCAACATAATTGATTGGGAGGATTTGACATTATTCTAGTATTTTGTTTTTGTCCTTATGTTGACTACATCTACGAATCATACACCTCCATCGTTACTAATAAGATGATGATTTGGACATTGATCTTTCACTGTAAAATGACTCTCTCCTCCTCCTCTCTATTTATTATTACATTTCAATTTGAAGCACATGGATCCTTGATCATTGAGCAGTTAATATGATGAAGGAAGCTGATAATCGGGGCCATACTACAAAAATTTTACTGTAGAAACATTTTAATATTGAACAATTATTTTTACTTATTGTGCATCGTTTTTAACACTCAAATAAGATCACTGATTTGATGACAAATTAGGAGCTATTGTAGGGATTAGGGAACATGTTAGGTGAACAAGTGGGGTGCTGGAATATGCTAATCTTCATAATCAATATCCTTTTCGTTTACACTGTAATGTGCCCTACATGTA